AGAAATGAGTCGTGCTGCTGACTCGCTTGCAAGAAGCAAAATCGCAGTTTCTGTTTCAACGCCTGTGATTGGCTGTTCGCTACTGATGTCACAATTTCATGTGCACAAATTCCATGAACTCAGGATCAAAGCCCGAGTTGACAGACAATTGATGATTAGCATGGTACCAACAAAGCCTGACTGAGTCGGTTTGGTTTTTCAACTCAAAACGAATCCTGTAACCATGAGCCCCTGGATTTCATGAAATTTGTGATTCACTTTATTATTAGTAATAACTGGTCACGTGATGGGTGGGCGACCCGGACTATAAGGAATAGAAGCTTTCCGTAATTACTCATTTTAATTAATTTCTTTGTCAAAAAATATGATAACTAACAAATAACCTAAGGGTAAAAAAGACAACCTATCATCTTCCCCCACACCATCCTGTCAGAGACGTTATATAACGACACATTAACTGCATCAACTGAAGTGATGGATTAGGAGAAACGATTGTGGTCTTCAGTCTGTGAATGTTAACGGTCTTCAGCTCACTGACAGTGCCCAACCCGGAGAGGGATGACACTGCGTGGGGTTAGTCCACTAATCACCCGTGGATTTACACATTAGCTGAAGATTTATCAGGATAAAGTAGAATCATTATTGCAGACCACAAACGATTTAAGTTGGATTCATAACGCATATGAAATAGAACACAAAACACAACCAATATATGATATACTGCATGAGATAACACAATTTGACAGGTCACATATTGACGTGTCCGTGTGGGAGGTTAAATTGCTTCTGCAGTAGCTATGAGGAATAACCTTTAACGTCACTTATTTGAAAAAAATACTGACCGTTAACGTATCTACAATCAAGATATTATATAACTTATGTATTAAGAATTAGAATATTGAACTGTAGACGCATTTGCCAGCTGAAGATCAACCATAATCCCCTAACTCACCTTGAAACAGCCATATGATCTGTTCGGGTGCCCGGGCTGGGATCCCTACGCGGGGTTCGGGTTCGGGATCAGGTTCGGGCTCGCGCTGCTGCTGACCGTCGCGTGCGCGGACAGGCCCAGTCTCTCGCACACTGCCTCAAAATCGGAATGCTCGCTTATTAAATATTTCCCACAGCGCCCGAAGACGCCAAATAACCCCTACGCCAGCGTACAGATTGATTTAGCCCTCCGCACTACCCCGAAAACGGTATTTTAATCGAATAAAGGGAGGAAAATAATGTTGTTGGTCACAAAAGAGAAGCCAGGCGGCTGGTTTTATATGAGGAGCCATCTTGCATTTATTCCTTCATCCATGGTAGGCGCGCTGTGATTGGTTACATGGGCTCCAGCTGACCAATCACAACGCACTTTTCAAAAGGAAGCGTACAGGACAAGGAAAAAAAATATGCTCCGGAAACACGAATTTTTAATCTCCTTTTTAGTAGAAATATTTTTAAGTTCTTTTTGTACCTGTAATTATTCTAAATTCATATTTGAGACATTTAATAAAATAATTTCAAAAAATGACACTGATCTGTTAACACTGACTTAGTAGTATGATAAAAATGACTTTATGGAAAAATTCACTTGCACATGCAAAGACAAACATCGACTCGTTGACTACTCTGATCGCTTGTGAAAAAGAACATCTTTTTTAGGATCACTCATTTCACAAATGTTCGTATATAGAACTAATGTTTAATGCTTAAGAAAATGAGAATTATATTTCCACGTATATCTGTGATTCTTTTTCTCCTGAGAAATATAATTTAGAAACTTTCTTGGCTTTGATGAATGTGGAAATTGTTACAATTATTCATGATACATTTCTTAATAACTTATTCGCTTAATGTTAAGTTATCTAAATATTGCAACAACAACAACAAACATTTAAATGTTCTCTCTATATTATTAAGCATATAACACAGCCATTAGCTCATTGGATATTCCATACATTTGATTTCGTAGTGCCTGTGTCTGTTGTCTGTGTGCGGTTTTGTGTACTGCTGGTTGGTTTCTATGTGTGTTTTGCCTCCCTCTCGCGGTGACCCAGAGTATGTTCATTTACTTAGTGAATTTGTAAGATTATTGAAGACTCACTAAGACTGAGACATACAATATATTTAGTTTATGCTTTTAAAAATCAACGTTTTATGTAAGGAACTGCAGTGGGAAACTGACAACTTGTATCCAATATCCAGTATCCAAAATTTCATGAAGCCGTAAACTGGTAAAATATTGATACAATGGGTGATGACTGGCCTCATTATTGTAGTATTTTAAGGAATATTATGCTATATATTCTACAACAAGCAGCACTGAGAACCATGAAGGATTGATGCCAAAAAATATATAAAATCCAATACTAAAAAACTTTGCTTCATACCCTGACATCAGAATGAATTTTGTGATTATTCACTGCACCAAAGTGTCATTTTTTAAATATCAGCTTGGATGATCATTTTTAACTTAAATTACATTAAACTGACTAGAATTGACTTGAACTGAGTTGAATCTTGCATAACTTATTTAAAAAAGTAGACAATTGTAAAAACATATGTTGTCATAACTTATTGATCATAATTTTTTAAGATTGATATAGGAAAACTTTAAAGTATGCAGTGTATCATCAAGAACGTGAATAATGAAACTTATTTGATGAAAAGAAAGTTGTTTGTTCAATGATATGTGAAGCTTGAGGTATAATGTTGCGCGTCAACACTTTTTGGTCACATGAATGTTAAAACTACAGAAATGACACTTCACATGTGCCATTACTTCTGATTAACCTTAAATGGAAAGAAAAACACAGGGGGCTTATTTTTACTCTTAAAGTAACGTCAGTAGTCCAGAATTGTGACGGACCTGTGCGTCAGTGTGTGTTTCCAGCTGTCGTGTGTGGGGAAAACACATGATTGTCTGGCTTTGTCACTTTGGAGTTTGACACATGCTGTTAGACCTGTACATCTGGTTGTGTTCACATGATGATCTCTCAGTTTCCTTTAAAATCACAGTCCTGACCAGAGACAAACACACACACGCAGGAGGAGCACACGCAGAAGCAATCATGTTGTACATTGTGGGGGTAAGTTTACCTGTTTCATGTTTTACAGCTTTTGTCTTGTGTTTGGTATACTGTATGTGCAAAACTATAAGTGACAAAGGCTATGATTAGATTTGGGGTCAATAAATGGTCGGTGCATAAATGCTTATTGTCTCTTAAGCATTAAAAACCATTGTAAACGAGATATATTTTTTCCTTAAAGCTAAAATTCTAGTATTGTATTTTTGTAATAGCTTTTGGATAAATATATGACACAGTAAAACCATAATGGGATTTATAAATGTAGAGTACAACTCAGCTACACATCCACACACACATATGCAAACGTGTAAAAATGCTGAGATCATTTGTATTGTTTCATGTGTATTGTTCTCTTTTATCTATGCAGTTTTCAGTTTTTAATTCAACTATTTTTGCAAACATATATTTTTCTCATTTTTAATGTCTGTTAATATTCAAATGTTTCTATCCACAGATTGTTCTGGGGCTTATTGGTATCATCAAGTGCATGTCACATGGTCTGAGTCAGGTAAGAGGAAGTGTTTAAATATGCTCTCATGACCGGTTAATCAAGTCAGCAACAATTTTTGATTATTGTTACATGATTATCTAGCTATTATATCTATTGTTGGAAAAAGGCAGTGCAGAACAAGTCAGAAGAGAATGACAAAATCAGGAGAGTTAACATGAATGATGATGCCTGCTATGTGTATGTGAAGAGTTTTTTGCATTAAACCATACAGCAAATACAATTATTTTAGAACAAGAAGGGACACATATAATGTAGATGCAGGGGAGATCATTTTAATGATGATGTTTTGAAAGCAGTCTTCCATGTTTATTGACTGTATTATCTCCAACACAGAAACATGCCTCTCAAGAAAAAAACTTGCTTTACAAAAACAAGGTACATAGCTATACATGTGAGAATACAGCTCTCTTGTTCTCTCATGGCTGACTGAAGGAAGCACATGCTAATATCTGATTGTTATCCTGCAGAGAATGAATGACCAGGAACTTCACCTCATCGTGAAGCTCCTCTCTGTCGGGCTGGTGGACGCAGATCCAAACACTCTGCACCATATAAAAGAATACAGAGATCTGAGAGGAAGTTCAACCTGAGAGAGGAAGTGACGCCCAGACAATTATAAAAGGCTCTATTCCTCATCTTTAACCCTGACAGAGAAAACCTGCAAGCAGTGGTTCTCTTTTACTTTGGTTCAAGGAAACGTGTGACACAAATTGTTGTCCTCCTAAACCTTAAAATGACTGTGAAACGCATCATCCTGATGATGTTAGAAATATCTGGATCATCATTGTGAAAGACTCCGGTGGAATGGCCTTTGAAAAAAAAGAAGAGTAACACTCTAACTGAAGTTTCTCGTTAAGTCACTATATAAAGAACCTTTAGTGGAATGGAAAGGTTCCAGCCCAGGGATGTTAAAGGGATAATCCACCGTTTTTTCAAATTAAACTATGTTATTATTCACTCAATCGCTCTGGCGCATGAGATAGCACTTAACTTAGCCAAGGCCAGTTCATTCATTTGGATCCAAGCAGAGAAGCGACCAAACACATCCACGTTTTCCGTGTAACTCGACCAAGAATGGTGACACAAAAACAAAACGTTACGCTTTTATAAGCGTGTAAATTGGATAACTATTTGGCGGAATACCACAGCAAGTGCTTGGGAGCGCTTCGACTCAGCGCAGTAATATCATCACTCGTGAAAAGTCCTCTCCCCCTGTCAGTCAGAAGTGATGATAAACTGCTACGCGCTCCCAAACACTTAATGGAAAAACATAGTTAAATAAGAAAAAACGGTGGAGTATCCCAAGAATCTTTATTTTTTTAATAGTGTAGAAAGGGCCAATTCACAGCGCACCGACAGACAGGTTTGGTCGGATACCCCTGTCGCAGTGTGTTGCTCTCTTGGCCGATTGAATATGTTGACGATTCGAATTAGAATGTCTGAGAAGTGACGTGGTGTTATCTGGTGACTGTCGACGTTGTTGTGCGTCTGTCAGTGCTGTGTGAATTGGCCTAAAAAAGAACACACATTCTCTTTAGAGAATTATTGCATTATGGATTATCAATATGTTTTTATCTGGGATGATCAGCAAGCTTTAAAGGGACCGACCATTTTTTCACCCTTGTGTTGTTCCAAGCCTGTATGAGTTCTGTTGAACACAAAAGAAGATTTTTAAAGAATGCTGGTGACCTGAGAGTTGACAAGCCATTGACTTCAATTGTATTTTTTTTCCATACTATGGAAGTTAATGGCTACCGTCCACTGTTTGATTACCAATAATCTTCATACTATCTTCTTTTTTGTTCAAGAGAAAGAAATTCATACAGGATTGGAACAACATGAGGGTGAGGTGACGACAGAATTGTCATTTTTGGTTGAACTATCCCTTTAAAAATATTCTTATGTGAAATGTACAGAACATATGCCATAGTCACCCAAAACCAATTTAGAAAGAAGATTTTGTTTTTGATTTTGTTAAATAACTTGCTCAATAAATGTTTTAAGACACCAGCTTTATTATTTTTTCCCAGTTCACAGAAATGTGTATGACATATATCACAGATGCACACTAGTGTCAAATTTGCATTAGCAGAAAATGAATGGTCATATACAAAATATACAAAACTGATAATGCAACAGCAGACATCATTCAAACCACTTGGAGCTGGTTCATTCCAGAGATTCATAGGCCTGAAACAAGTTTATAAGGAATTATGTGTCATGTTTTAGTCTTGACTTCCTTCTGACTCATCATGTTCTTGTACGTCTATGAAGTTCTTTCCCTGTGAGAGTAAAAAGTGACTATTAGGTATATTGGTATTGGTGAAGAATTCAGCATCAATGTTGCTTACAGATATTCCAATAGATGAAAATCTAAAATGAAAATAAAACTATTTTCATACCCCAAACTTTATTGTTCAGAGTTTGGCCCAGTAAGAACAGCAACGACACAACAAGCATGTTATGAAAGAAGAAGATGGTCAATCCTGAGCTGCTGAACAGCCCCAATATAGGGTAAACCCAGATTCCCACTGTTAGATACACCCAAACAATCCTGAAATATATATATATATATATATATATATATATATATATATATATATATAAATATTGTGTCTAAAGCATGAGCAAATCAAGTTTCATATCTAGTGGAGTCACCAACATAATCTGAATTCAAATCATCAGTATATCGCTAAAACAAACACAAGACATTCTCACCATCCTAAGTAAGCCAGACCAACAAATCCCAAAGCTGCTAAACCATTTCTAGTTTTCGGGTAGATATGTGGCTCCAACAGGATCTCACCAAACAAGATTGGGAGAACAATAGTGTGCTGAAAATCAAACATACAAAATGACTAGTATTAGACAGTTCATTGATCCAAAGATCTATTTAGTTGTAAATGCAGATTATTTAATTGACATATATTTGAAAAAGTTATCCGAAGGAATAGAGAACAACAAACCATAGAATGATTCAACCATTGAGGGAAGAAGCTGTCAATTGAAGCTGGATAGACTAGCTGTCGGTCATAGGCAAAAATCAGCCAAAACAGCAGAACTACAAACTTAAGACAAACCAGAACAAACATTAAAAACCCATTAAAAATAAAAAAAACAATTAAGTTACAAATAATAATCGGGAAGGCTTTTGAATGGTTAGGGTTAGAGAGAACTCAAAGAACTGAACATTTTTAAATCGGACGAGGTTGCACTGTTTCTTCTGGACAGTGCTGACTTTTTTGTTTGTAAACTTTGTGTGAAAATATAATTCTTTAAAAAATATGAGTGAAGCTCGACTAAACTTGGAATATCAGATTTTAGGGATTTAGTGTATCTATTTTTTGGTCTATATATTGTTAAATCTGAAGAAAACAATAGAATGATCCTGACAATCACAAATATTAAATTGCAGCACTAAAACTCTAAGTGACTGGCACAACTCACTCTCACCAAGTGAAGCACATCAAACAAAACCAAATACTATAAAGAACATCAGTTTTGATAATCAATTATTAAATTAGGTCATTACATCTAAAGTATAAAAATAAATAATAATAATAATAATAATAATAATTCATCGTCCAGCTCAGTTCAGTTCTTATACAACAGCACGTTAAAAGGTTTCAAAAAGTCACACTCACCATTCCCACTGGAAACACAAAGACGGAAAAGAGCAAATCCTTGCAGAGGCAGAGAAATGATGTTTTTGAGCCTTTTCCCACAGGCTGAAGGTCATTCACAGATGCCAGTCCAAAAAACACCATTTGTAAGACCTGAGAAATGAACGTTAAACACATTTACAAGGAACCTCCAGTACTGTCCAAAATGTTGATGTAAAGTAAACTTACCAGGTTTAAAAAAGTTAGGTATTTCCAGGGTCCGCCATACACAAAGATCCCCGGTGGCAGTTCTGAATCACCTTTTGCATAAATAGACTGAATAACAAAGGCATACCAGCAGAAAGCAACAATATGGTAAAATTTCTTCAAAATGCCAGTCATGTCTGTATAGTGTGTTGCTGAAATACAAATTTCATCACTATCAACCAAGCTCTTATATGAGCTGCAAAAGACTAGGAAAAGCCAGGGGAACTAATTCAGGTTTATGAGAAGAAAAGCTTACATTGAGAGATTAGCCTAAACTGACAAGCTATTTTGGCATGGTGTTATAAAAGTGTAACTCTTCACAAAGGGCTCTGTGTTTTTCTGGTGACATAACACAATTTTTTTTTTTACCCAAAGTACAGTTATCATGAGCTAAAAAAGTATGCTCTGTTATTTGGTTTTGTAAAGTCGAATTTAAGCTTAACGGCATGGCTCACATATTTTGCAGAATGACTCAAACTGCCTAAAAAGCTAATTATAGATCAGTGATGTCACAAGGTTAAGTAAGCACACTCCAACTCAAAGCAAAAGTTTTTTTTTTCTATGATGTACTATGGTCTATATTCTCCTTCACTGGCATATTATTTGACTTGAAGGAATAGTGGAACAAAACAACTCTACTACTGACTTTCATTGCATGGGCAAAAGAAAAAGAGATAAAAACAGAGACATTTTTCAAACTATCTTCTTTTGTGTTACATAGAGGAAAGAAAGTCATTCAGGTTTGGAATGACATGAGACCAAGTAAATGACGACTTTTGGGTCAACTATCTGTTAAAATAGCATATTAAAGGCGAATGATTAGGCCTACACATTAAACAAAAAAACATTCATCAGAAGATTAATGAACATATTCGTCTGTGTGATAAACCCTACCGTTTCTGACGAATAAAGGACACAAAACCCAAAAGGGCATTATGATATTTGAAGAACATGTCTTGTGTCCTAGTTTTATTTTATTATCATGTCAGTGTAGACCTTACTTTGTTCTAAACATGATTCAAACACACAACATTTGGAACGGGTGGCAACATGTAACAGACATTATTGGTTCTCTACACACTGATGGGATCCTCCATCAAAAAAAGAGGCAGTATCACTACATTGACAGTTGTTGACAAACAGATTTTACAATTTAAACAAATCAATATCAATATCTCAAGCAAAATTCACAATATTGCACATCAAACTACATAATATCTTTTTTCCTATTTTTTTTTCTTTGGCGATTTGTGTTACTGAGAAACTGTTGTATTCATTCTTAACAATATGTTACCTGGACTCATGTCTATGTGCTTTAGGAGTTTCCATCGTTCATCAACATAAACCAACAGAATATATTTTACATCTTTACATTTAGCATGGGAAGAGGTGGAACATCCTTTCCTGTTCTCTGGCCAGAGTTTGTGAATGAACAATTTCCCCTTCCCTGCTCAAAGCATCCTGTGATCATTTCCACTCCAGCTCCACTTTGTTTTCTATTTACAATTACATTTAATCATTTAACAAACAGTTTTATCCAAAGCGACATTGAGAGATTTCAAGTAAACGACATAAATCAATGTTCTTTACTACATAACGTTCTTTCATCTGGACACAAGATAATTGTATTAAATGAAAAAAAGAAGAAGAAAAAAAAATACTTGGAGAAAAGTTTCATGCTGTATTGAAACAAGAACACTAGTCTTTTAACATGTTGGAGCAGTACTGGAAAGATCTTGAAAACATTCAAAAACCCTGCTCCTTCCTCATGGCAATAACACGCAACTTACTGTTTGGTAAACAACTCTTATAGATCACAATTTCTGGATATAGTCCGATAATTACAAAAGACTCTGAAATATGTTTCACAGCTATATATAGACGCACACAATACCTGCTCTATCTAAAGCTTATTCCAGCTGGTAAGGGTTGTGTTCCTGTTTTGTTTTGTTTTTTTTGTCAGGCAGTTCATCTGTTAAGTCTTGCAGGGATATCCATCCTTTCAAGCGGCAGCAATCTTTGGTATAATCAGTGCAAAATCACAGTTTTGAGGTAAGACAACAAAATCGCTTCCCTCGTATTGTTCCTTTACCTTTACTCTTCCAATGGTTCAAATTATGAGGCCTGTGAAAAAACACCAAACACAAATGCCTGAGTAGTACAAGTAAAAGTACACTTAAACACCACTTTTGGATATTGTAACAACACAGAACCTATAGAGTATTTTCAGAACAATTTAACCACCCACACTCACAAACACAAACAATATGACTGAAAATGTTGAATTTTTATGAATAAATTCTACAATTTACCTCAAAACGGCTGTAGACCTTCCTCTCTTTCCTCATTTTCTCCATCTTCTGGATTAACATGTCCCGTTCTTCTGGTGTAGTCTTGGAGGACCAGGGCCTTCCCGGATGATTTGAGAACACTTTATCTGCAGAGCTAACCTCACCCTCTTTGGATTCATTAGGTGCAGCAAGAGTCTGCTTGGACTGGGATGATCTGCGTTGGTTCTTTGCTGAAATTTGCTCCAAAAGAACTTTAGTGTCATCTCTAAGGTTGCTGCACGAGATAACATTTGCAGTAGATAACTGATGAGCGGACATGATTGATTTTGGATTCTTTGCAACAGAAGACTGACTTTCTGAATTACTTTGTACAGTCAAATCTGAATTTTCTGAAACCTCTGCTAAATTAATCACAGAGTTTTCCACCTCTGTTGTTGTTTGTTTAGGGTCTAGGGTTGTAGAAACCTGAGTTATCTTGGGCCCTTCAGCTATAGCCGAAGTGTCATGCCTCTGAGAGTGATCTGTAATGGTCTCATTCTTTTGGCACTCAACTAGTATTTGGTCATGTAGACAACTAGATTCCTTTGGGTTTGATGATATGCTAGATGAATTGAGACTAGTTAAAGCATTACTATCTGTGTCTTTTACCATAGGAGTTACACATGGTTTGGTCCATGTTTGTGTTTTGTTTAGTTCCACTTGGCTGTCACAAGGTGGAACAGTATCAGTTTGGGAAAGCTCAGTTGTGGAACTTGAGTCTATAATGACTGTAATTTGAGATATGCTATTGTCTGCCTGAGTACTGTTAGAATCTGGAATGGGTTTGCTGAAGGCTTTGGATAAATTATCATCTTTTTTCTTTTTCTCATTCACACAAGAGACTGTTGCAGTGAGAAGGGATTCATTTTCTGTTTCAATAGGATGTTTGGAAGTGTCTACCGTAATTTTAGTGGAGTTTTGGGATGATTCCCTTTCGGTAACAGTGAGTTGCTGGGACAAATCATTATCTTTTGCAATGTGTTGATGCAAAGAGTCTGTGGCTGTTTTGGTGGTCTTCTGGGAAGAATCTGTCTCTGTTACAGTAGGCTGCTGGCAAGAGTCTGTGATTATTGCAGTGGGCTGCTGGGAAGAGTCTGTGATTATTGCAGTGGGCTGCTGGGAAGAGTCTGTGATTGTTGCAGTGGGCTGCTGGGCAGAGTCTGTCTCTGTTGCAGTGGGCTGCTGGGAAGAGTCTGTGATTGTTGCAGTGGGCTGCTGGGAAGAGTCTGTGACTGTTGCAGTGAGATGCTGGGAAGAGTTTGTTTTTGTTGCAGTGAGATGCTGGGAAGAGTCTGTCTCTGTTGCAGTGGGCTGCTGGAAAGAGTCTGTTTCTGTTGCAGTGGGCTGCTGGGAAGAGTCTGTGATTGTTGCAGTGGGCTGCTGGGAAGAGTCTGTGACTGTTGCAGTGAGATGCTGGGAAGAGTCTGTTACTGTTGCAGTGAGATGCTGGGAAGAGTCTGTGACTGTTGCAGTGAGATGCTGGGAAGAGTCTGTCTCTGTTTCAGTGAGATACTGGGAAGAGTCTGTCTCTGTTGCAGTGAGATGCTGGGAAGAGTCTGTTTCTGTTGCAGTGAGATGCTGGGAAGAGTCTGTGACTGTTGCAATGGGCTGCTGGGAAGGGTCTGTCTCTGTTGCAGTGAGATGCTGGGAAGAGTCTGTGACTGTTGCAGTGGGCTGCTGGGAAGAGTCTGTGACTGTTGCAGTGAGATGCTGGGAAGAGTCTGTAACTGTTGCAATGGGCTGCCCGGAAGGGTCTGTTTCTGTTGCAGTGAGATGCTTGGAAGAGTCTGTGACTGTTGCAGTGGGCTGCCCGGAAGGGTCTGTCTCTGTTGCAGTGAGATGCTGGGAAGAGTCTGTTTCTGTTGCAGTGAGATGCTGGGAAGAGTCAGTGACTATTGCAGTGGGCTGCTGGGAAGAGTCTGTTTCTGTTGCAGTGAGATGCTGGAAGAGTCTGTGACTGTTGCAGTGGGCTGCTGGAAGAGTCTGTTTCTGTTGCAGTGAGATGCTGGGAAGAGTCTGTGATTGTTGCAGCTGGGAAGCTGCTGGGAAGAGTATGTTTCTGTTGCAGTGGGCTGCTGGGAAGAGTCTGTTTCTGTTGCAGTGAGATGCTGGGAAGAGTCTGTGACTGTTGCAGTGGGCTGCTGGGAAGAGTCTGTGACTGTTGCAGTGAGATGCTGGGAAGAGTCTGTGACTGTTGCAGTGGGCTGCTGGGAAGAGTCCGTCTCTGTTGCAGTGGACTGCTGGGAAGGGGCTGTTTCTGTTGCAGTGGGCTGCTGGGAAGAGTCTGTGACTGTTGCAGTGGGCTGCTGGGAAGAGTCTGTCTCTGTTGCAGTGGACTGCTGGGAAGAGTCTGTGACTGTTGCAGTGGGCTGCTGGGAAGAGTCTGTCTCTGTTGTAGTGGGCTGCCCGGAAGGGGCTGTTTCTGTTGCAGTGGACTGCTGGGAAGAGTCTGTCTCTGTTGTAGTGGGCTGCCCGGAAGGGGCTGTTTCTGTTGCAGTGAGATGCTGGGAAGAGTCCGTCTCTGTTGTAGTGGGCTGCCCGGAAGGGGCTGTTTCTGTTGCAGTGGACTGCTGGGAAGAGTCCGTCTCTGTTGTAGTGGGCTGCCCGGAAGGGGCTGTTTCTGTTGCAGTGGACTGCTGGGAAGAGTCCGTCTCTGTTGTAGTGGGCTGCCCGGAAGGGGCTGTTTCTGTTGCAGTGAGATGCTGGGAAGAGTCTGTGACTGTTGCAGTGGGCTGCTGGGAAGAGTCTGTCTCTGTTGCAGTGGGCTGCTGGGAAGAGTCTGTCTCTGTTGCAGTGGACTGCTGGGAAGAGTCTGTCTCTGTTGCAGTGGGCTGCCCGGAAGGGGCTGTTTCTGTTGCAGTGAGATGATGGGAAGAGTCTGTGACTGTTGCAGTGGGCTGCACGGAAGAGTCTGTGACTGTTGCAGTGGGCTGCACGGAAGGGTCTGTGACTGTTGCAGTGGGCTGCTGGGAAGAGTCTGTGACTGTTGCAGTGGGCTGCACGGAGGAGTCTGTGACTGTTGCAGTGGGCTGCTGGGAAGAGTCTGTGACTGTTACGGTGAGATGGTGGGAAGAGTCTGTGACTGTTGTAGAGAGATGCTGGGAAGGGTCTGTGGTTGATAGAGTAGTCTGTTTGAAATGTTCTGCACCTGTTGCAGTGGGTTTGGGGTAAAAGTCACTTTCTTTTGGAGTGTGGTGTTGGGAAGAGTCTACCACTGATGTAGTGGACTGCTGAGAAAAGTCCATTTCTGCTGCAGAGGGGTTTTGGGAAGATTTTGCCCTCATTGCAGGGGAGTGTTTCGAAGAGTCTGAAGATGTGGCAATGCACTGTTGGGAAGGTTCATTTCTTGCTGGGTCTGTCCCCATTACATGGCGTTGTTTGGAGATTTCACTTTCCACTACATTGGAGTCTTGGGTAAAGTCTGTCCCATTTTTAGCAGGGAGTTGAGAGTCTTCCCCTGTTTCAGTAGGCTGTTTAGAGGAGGCTGTTTCATTTGCAGTGGAATGATGTGACGATTCACATTCTCTTGCAATTGGCTGTTGGAAAGCACCTGCTACTGTTTTAATGGGGACGTTTTGTGAAGTTTCACTTTCTGTAGCAGTGGGATGCTGAGAAGATTCCTCTCCCAATGCAGTAAGCTGCTGAAAACAGTCTGTCTCTGATGTGGGAAGGTGTTGAGAAGAGTCTCCATCTGTTGAAGTAGGTTTTTGGGAAGGCCCACTTTCCCTCACTGGGGAGGAGGCATGTATGTGGTCAGGTTTTGAGGGTACACTAGTATCTACAATTGCAAGGTTTGGTTTTGAATTAAAATCTAGAGATACATTATCTCTGCTAGAAATATTGGGTGAGCTCTGTGCAATAGTGGTGCTAGATGGTGACATACACTTTGTCTGAACAGCATGGGAGTGGTCTGTTTCTTTTGGAATGTGAAATTGGTTGAGGCCAGATTCTGTTAAGGGAGTATTGGATGCAACATATTCTGCTTGATTTTTCACCTCCAATGTAGCACTGGCTGTAGGAAGGGAGTTTTTTGAACAAGGTTCTGAGGATGAACTTATACCAGGATCGGAGGACTTACCAGACAAAGCACAGGAAGGCTTTTGAGCAAAATGTTTTAAAATGGGGGATGTCTGGTTTTTAGCAATAGATACTGTTCTTACCTCTTCAACAGGTTTTAGAGTTGGATCAGTGTCTTTTTGGGTTTTTTTTAAAGTTGAGCCAGATTCTTCTGCCATTTTTTTCTTAAATCTGATTTTTTCAGCATCAGTAGCTCTATGCAGGATGTCTTTACTTGATTCCTCAAATATAGTGTCTTTATGGGTTTCTTTGATCTCTGGTGCTGGGACAGTGTTATTTTTTGACTTGAGTGTAGTTTCTGGGGTCTTGACAACAGGCCCAGCATTTTTATCTGCGTCATTAGTGGAAGATTTTTCTGATAGTGCAAATTTTTGGGTGGCTTTCACCGGATTGCTCTGAGAAACCTTTGCTGCTGCAAGTTTGCGTTTGGCTGCCAACTCTTTGAAATACCTCAGTCTACAGTCAGGGTCGTTCATATCGATGAAAGAAGATGACTTTTGCAATTGATTAGATGGGCATTCATCCCTTTGGCTTTTTCTTTCAGGAACTGCTGTTTGAAGTTGGTCTTTTTCTTGCAGAGGACAGAGATTTTGGGAGTTTTCAACCTTATCTAAACCAGAATTCTCACCCAATTTGTTCAGTTCATCTTCAGGTTGTGCAGACTCTATCTGAGAGTTATCAAATGTGTTTGACTTTGCAAAATCGCTCCACTGAAATCGTTGAAATGGAGAACCAGTCCTCCTTTTGTCCAAGATGTGTGACACACGAGAATCTTTTGAAGCTTCATCCCCCTCTTTTTCTCCCACAGTATCTTTCATCTCATCTGACATATGCAACTCTAAATTTGAATTGAATATCAGTGAGTGTCTCAGTCTGGAACTCCTTTGGAAAGGTCGGCTGGGTTTCTTCTTGAGGAAGTCTTCACTAATCCGGTTTGTCTCTTTAGATTCTCTATTCTTCGTCTCCTCCACTTTGTCACCCTCAGTGGTGCAAGAAGACTCTGAAGTTGATGTTGGTGTTGTTTTGATATTTATTTGTGATAAGTCTGTTGGATGATTAACTGAATTGTCAGGCACAATACAACTATTCGGAATCTGGACAAACAAGGGATTTTCCCTAGGTGAAGGTATCCTGTTAAACTCTCTGTTTCCTGGTCTAATTTCTGGACGCACAGGACCACAAGGAGCTTCCTGTGTAAAACATGGAACATCACCACATGTGCTGGATCCTTCAAGTTCAGCTAAATCCAGTTCTCCTGCATCATCAAATGCACTAAGGTATGAGCTGATCCTCCAGTCCCGCATACCTTGCTTTTGACTCATATCCTGTGGTTTGTGGTTTACATTAAAAAAACGTTTCTGTTCTGGCAGGTTTGGTTGTTTCGGCGAGCTCTGACAGGTATAAGACTGACCCATGTTATGTCTCTTAATATCGGACTGCACAGGTGACAATACATTTCTTGGACCTGGTCCTTCCTCCATAGCAGATTGAGACTGCAGGTATCTTTGAACATGGTCATAAGCTCCAGTTGGTTCAGCCTCATCTCCCTCATGAGGGTAGCCAGGCCCTGTAAACTGATCAATGTGGTGGCTTTGGCCTCTAAGCTTCCCATACATGTCATAACCAGATTGAAATTCAGCTCCCTGGTAAATAAGTGGTTCCCTTGCAAATTGAGAGCCTTGGAGCACAGCTCCCTCCATGTACTGTTTTCCTCTCATCATTGGAATGTTTTGAGGAGGCAAGTATTCATAATCAGGTATATTTCCATAGCTATTCCTTTTGAAGCCAACCATTTCAGTTGGTCCTTTCTTTTGCCTTCCATGCTCTAAAGATTGATGGTCCCCTCTATATGGTAGATCAGCATGCAGGTTCATGTGCCTCTGAACAGAAGGATTTGCTTCTGCTGCACTGTGGATGGATTCATTCCTAAAGGGTAACATTTTTTGACCCACTTTCATGTGGTCTTCTCCTGTGCGTTCGGCCCATTCCATGCCCATAGTTGGATATTGTCTGTTAAACATGTGGGTCTTTTCTGTGTTGTAGAAGCCTTCAGGTTCCCCAGCATAGTGTGGCATATTTGCCAAAACATTTTCAACAACCAATGGCTCTGAATGGGCATACAGAATCCGAAACTCTTCATCAAAGGTGGTCACAAGCTGTCCCAGAAACAGATGAGCAAGACAGCGATGTATCTTCTCAAAAGACCACATGAAGCTGCAACACAAAGTGAGAAATTGTTTATGGACACCTTGATTAAACACAACATACACTAAAACCCAATATATAAAGTAGAGATTTATAGAGAACTGTTAAACAGTAAAATGCACTTACCTATAGTTGCCACTTAAAACAGCTCTGCAGTCTACTAGTATGAAGCGATCCATCATCTGACCTTTAAATGTCTTTCCTGTGCGGCAGGAATAGGTACTTCCAGACACAGTTCTTACCCGCATGAACTGCAAGTAAAATGTATATTAATGAATTTGTACTGATTTATAACAATCAAATAAAAAAAAATACCTACTTTTATCTCATCCAGATTCACTCTACAGTTGTTCACCATCGAAACAAAATGTTGAGCATTCAGTTCATCAAGAAGAACATAAACAGCCACACCACGTGTTGCTGCACCCAGGATATCAGCAAAGATGTCAACATCTGTAAACATATCCATCACCACAGCGATAACCTAGAACAAGAAATAAAACATATTATCATTAGTCCATTAGTTAGTATTAACCATCTAATGCAACCTTTAACCTTTAACCAATACTGGGGGGTCGGGGTGGGTCAAACATTTAAGCATTTTTTAAATGGACTTCATTTCAATCATTTTGGAAATTGTATAGATAATTAAAATGGTTTGATTACCATGTGTGCTTGTAAAGTGTCAACATTTCACGTTTCCAGCAGAATAAGCAGACATAAATGACAAAGAGGTGAATATCAGATGAAGTTGAAGGGCAGACAACACTGTCTACTTTTATGTTTACTTAGACTTCAGTTTACCACATTGTCAACAATGATGCCACCCAGTCTATTTTATATTAGGCAAAAATGCAATCATATGCAATCAAAAGAGACTGCCAAAATAAAATCACCCCAATCTGAATCTCAAACTGCCTCAAGAGCAAATTTAACATAAGAACATTTTTAAAAAGAAAACAAAAAAATACTTGTTCAGTACATGAATTTACTGTGAACAGCATCACTGCAGGCAGAAGTGCATGTAATAACAACCATTTCATGACTTCATTGATCACAACATTTTCATGAAGATACAATACAGATCTTGTGTCAATTTGGCAAAGCATCAAATTCTTATTCAGCACCTTTAGGCAATTTGAGACAATAAACTTTTAAAATGTCTAAATTGAAATAAGATCATTTGGTTGTTTATTTAACCCAAAAATGTCAATAGAAACTACAATCCTTATAAGTGCACAATAGCTGTCATTGTAAAGCTTCGAATGAAAGACCAGCTGTGAAACTAGTGTGACCAGTTTGCTGTGAGTTCTAACCTCGTATTGCCTGTATACTTGTGAAAACAGTACCAAAGCACTTAAAACCACTGATTAATGAGGTAAGACATCTACCATAATACTAAGTCGTCTTTCGACTTCTGTGATGCAGTAATAAGTAACATCTTATTCATCTTAAAACTCACTTGCTGTGCAGTCTTGATCATCCTGCGGACTTGCTCTTTGATACTAGGCATCTCGGGGTCATGCGGGTTCACCAATGTAGTCACCTCAGTTGGTCCAACAAATCTGTATTGCTGTGGCCAGCCCAAGTCCAGGTTCGGAGCATCATGGTCTGAATGTACCGGCCAGTAAGTGTCAGAAGAGCCATCTACATCTTCAGCCATGCATCTCCTCTCTAGTTGTGCGGTCAGGTGTGGAGCTTGCACCATGCATCTGATATACTCAATCTCTGAACGGGATAAGAAATCAACCACATTTACTTCCTGAAGAAACCCATAGTAGCCATCCAAGTCATTGTCAACCAGGGCGTCGATAGCCATTCGGTATTCCTCACGGTAGTGAGGGGCCAGGTAGTTGGGGTCCAGGGGGTTGTCCCCGGTAGAGGAGCACTGGGAACGATGAGCCATATTTACACCTGGACCAGAGGAGTTAAGAGATTAATTATCATCATAAAAAAAATGGTAATGCACATTAATTACACATGCAGGCAACCACTCAGCCCCCGACCCATGCATGAGAAGTAAACATCTTCATAGATTATTGTGATGCACATATTTTTGAATAAACGAGCAAAATAATAATAATAATAATAATAATAATAATAAAATATTTAAAGAATACTTTTGGAAATGCAAACATGTACGACTTTACCCAATATCTATTTCAATCGAGAATTTTTTTTCTTTGAGTTTTGTCATCCAATGACATCACTAAGAATGTATGATACTAACATATATGAATGTTGCAAGAAATCTAACATTATATTTAAACATTAAAACTACATAAATTATAGTGAGACACGTCATAATATCATGATATTATTTCACTAATCCACTAACAAATTTTCTCTTATGTTTAGAAAGTTAAAATGGTCACAAACTCTTTTTCGAGTCATTATTATAATGTAGGCTACGTATTTTATAACATTTGGATAAATCAATGGTAGGCTAATAACGCATTTTAAATCAAGCATGGGCTTAGAATGTGTCCCTGGAACATAAGGTCTAACGGTGAATTACAATATGGATATTAAAACCATCCATTTCTTTCAGTCCACATTGGCTTATTCAAGTAGTCTTGGTTAAAACGTAAAGTAAAAGAATCTCTGCAGGTAAAATCATATTAAAAGTAAATTAATCTAAACCAAGTATTATTTTAATAATCCTGTGCGTTATTATCAGTAAACCACTGAAATGAATCTAGATCGGCTATCTCACATCTGCCCCAAAAACCTCTCTGGGTGTGTCGCAACAACAGAGAGCCCACCATTTAAAATCCCAAATCTTTCCCTTGTATTTATATAAACACAAATCACTATTGTTAACTTCATCACAAACATGTTTTCTTTCCCAGGACCGACGCCAACCCATTAGATTTTGACGTCGCAAATCGCGAAGCTCTCAAGTTTCGCAAATTTACTGCCAAGCAAAAATAGTACAGATTATGAAACCTAATGACGCGTTAAAGTTTCCTCACATGAATTTAAAGTCGACTTACCAATTTAAATCGCAAGTGTCATTGATTCCCTGTGTGAAATCCCTTCATCGACTTCATCAGACCGTCGACATGACGAACGACAGACGCTTAACATTCACTCCAGTTGAAGAAGAGAAAAACACACTTCTCGGAACAACATACACACACTCAACGCACACACACACACAGGCAAAACCTGTTTGTGTTCGCGCGCAAGTGAAGAGAATAGTCCATTTCTGCTCAAAACGAGTTCCATTATTCCAAAAGACAATTCAATTGCATGAGTTTCAGAGTGAAAGTTTTATAGAATACGCAGATTTCATACAGGATTAGGATTTCGTAATATTATTGATTTGATATGAGTAGCCTAGGTTATATGCAAGTAAGTTAATTCTCAGTCATAGTTAATGTTTAACTATAAACACGGTCCTCCTGATAACATAGAGTGGATCTGGAACTCAATTGGACATAAATTCAAGAGTGTGTGTTAGTTGAACATACATTCAGTCAGAGGCCACCGGAAAACTCCCACTCAGTAAAAACACTGATAGCCACTGTATATAAGCTATAGGCTAGCCTACATATCATTAAAGTCAAGTAATAATTGAATGCTCTTAATTTAACTCTTCGACTAATTCTAGTAAACAATTCATGTTTCAGTTTACAAGTCTGTCTGAATTGTGTGAATCCCTTCCGATTTCTAAACTGAACCCACAGCGACTTACTCATAAGGCCATATTTACAACTGCTGTGAATATTATGTATATCTAATAGGCCTATATCATCTGTCATCAATGAATAATTAATAGATTTTCCTTTGTATAAGACAAAAATTGTATGCGTGCAAATCCAAGTGCAGATAAAATAATGGGCCGCATGAGCCTGTGTGAACTTGTTAGGCTGGAACAGAGTAACTTCTGTAAAGAAAGAATGATTGTGGGAAAAGATAACAAAACTGATCAGTGTTTCTCAAAAAATAAATATTAACACATTTTCTGGAAATAAAAGTTGAAAGCGAGAGGATGTTGAACTTGACTCAATGTAAAATTCCCCTTTGGGTTATAAAGGAAAACGTTTTCAGTGGGGATGTTATGATGATAGGATTTCCTTTTTTTTCTCCAGTTTAAAGCAAATGATCCATGAAAAGGTGAATTTAGACATTTGAATATGCAATTTCCACCACCTTTTTTAACAAAAAAAAAAAACAAAAAAAAAAAAACTTTAAAACCTACAACACTTGTGCAACTTATTAATTTGGAAGTTGCATTCAAAGTCCGGTTGGTTTAAACATCGGAAGGGACTTTTGAAGAATGAGCATGACGTTTCTGCCTGTTTGACATATATATCTGAAAGCATAATAACATACGCTATTGTTATTATCTTGTTTGCAGAGTTTCAGTATAACGCATGACCTACATGCCAGCGTCGACCTGTACAACAGAGACAACACCTGAAATCAGATCAGAGCTCATCGGCCGTGGTATACGGCAGAAGGTCTGTGGTTCTTCTCTCTGGAAACGATAAACCTAAAGCAAAATCTTCACACTCTTACACCAAGTGCTTCACAACAAAATGCTTGAACATTTTTCAAAACTCATTGTCGAATATACCTCTATTGATATAAAAGTTATTTGTTTGACAGCTCCTCAAACATTAATAAGGCTATATGTATAGTCTGCACACAATCACCTTAAGCTTACATTAATCAGAAAGTAAGCACTGTTGATTCAAAGTTTGTAAAGAACTAAAGGCTTGTTTTCTGTCATTGTGTTCCATATGTTTCCCCTCCAATAGAAAAAGGAGAACTTGGCGTCCACAGAGCCACAGGATATGATGTAATTTCTCAAGTGCATGCCTGAACAATCCTGCATTGTTTCAACAGACACCGCCTAAAGCATATATTGCAAGCAGTGTTAAGGGTGAAGATGTTCATGACCTCATACCTAAAAACATTCCAAGCACAGAAGTCATATTCAGAGCTATCTCTTCATTGCTAATCCACATACACGTTATGCTCCTCACAGATCTTTGAAAAACCCTATGAAAGGAAATGTATCGACAAGCAGTTTTTTTGTGCTGATATAAAGGGTATCTCAAAGAAGGCAACACCCTTTTATTATCAAATAATCAATAGACATTAGTTGAGTCAATGCTAATTTGCAAGTCGTAGCACAGGAAATGGTTTTTGGAAGGTGAGGCATTCTTATCTTAAAGAACATTCGATTGGACAAAATATGGCTATATGCTGAATGTCAAGGGGTCAAGGTGTGGCTATTTACCATGGGATAGTTGCATCTTAGAAGGGACAAGCCACATTGCTTAGTTAAGTCACAATTTACTCACCCTGGCGTTTTTTTCTCATACCGACTGCCTATAGGCCTAGGAGAATTTTCAATAAAAATGTCCCGCTTGTGCTTATTCATATAAAGACAGTGAATCGAGACCAGCATAATCGTAACATTAAATACAACCAACTTCTTCTCTGGCGTGAATATATCTGTTGCGTTTGTTCGTCACAAGAAGTCTTCGCGTTCTCATAAACTGCCATTCTGACTGTCATCAGACAGAGTTCCAGTCTGGTGATATTTGGTTCGGTTGGATATTTGACTAAGTGAAGAAAGTACACAGATACTTTTTTGAGATTTCTAGACATTGTGTTTCATGCTGTGGTGTTGTTAATCTTGATTTCTCACAACGTGTGTGCTTTTGGGCGAGACGGAGCGAACTCTATTGCTAATCTCATAAACGCACACGTTGAGCAGACATGCAGGTAAGACCAATGGCCAATGTCAACAATTTTGGTTTGTTTTTCACTTGTATAGCTACCTCCATAACACTTACAGTTGTGGTCAGAATGAATGGCACCCCTGGTCAAAAATGCCTGTAAAAAATAAATCTGCATTGTTCATCCTTTTGATCTTTTATTAGTTTTTTTTGTGTGCAAAAATCTAACCTTTCATTGAAGTAAAAAAAAAAAAATGTAAAAAAAAATATTTTATTTATTACATGTTGACAAATTTAACAAAAAATTTCTCCAAAACACGATGGCCACAATTTTTGGTACCCTTATTTTATTTTATTTTTATTTATTTATTTTTTTTACAAATAAAATTATAAAAATTAAGTATATTCCCATAAATATTTACCTTTTTTTTAGCACACCCAGGTGACTAAGAAAGAACATGACATTGTCTAGCTATATGACTGTTTGTTTCAAATAAGTTTTAATATAAGGAAACACAAAGGCCAAATTCCCTTAATCATCCATCACAATGAGTAAACCCAAAGAGTTCTGATGTGCATCAAAAGATTGTTGAGCATCACAAAATAGAAAGAGGCTATAAATCCCCATTTCAAAATGTATTTCAAAATGTGATTTACCCCCCACTTACAATTCTTTTACTTCAATGAAAGGTTCGATTTTTGCGAATTTTTTTAATTATATGATTCATTTTTTCATCCATTTTGATTATATTTACCAGGGGTGCCATTAATTCGGACCGCAACTGTACAAAGGCGCATGACGCATGGGATCATTCTGTCATTCTTTTTCTGTCCATCACACTGCAATTATATGGATAAGCTCAAGTGGGACATTTTTTTTAATTCTCCATAAAAGAAAGAATGGCATACTGCATTAGAACAACACCAGGGTGAGTAAATGATGACTTTTAATTTGAAGGTGAACGATCCCTTTAAAAGAATAAAAATGACTTATTTTGTATAGCCTATGCAAATGAAAATATGTGTGCAAAATGACTTGAATTAATGGTTTAATTAAGCTGATTTTGACATTCTGCATTGTAGCTGCATGCAGTTCTCCATCTCTTACTACATCTACTCTAACCATGTTGCAAGCCTTTGCTCTCAAAAAATATGAAAATAATGTTTTGACCAGCAGCCAGATCCATGCAAATGCACAAGCATCAGTTTTCCAGAATCCGGCTGAATATTATTTGCATGCATTAAAAAGAGTGGCGGGACTGTACTAGCAGCACTAATCATATGAGGCTAATCTATATTTTATTTTTATTTAAAGTTTACCCCAAAAACACATTAATATGCAAAACCCATTTATGCATGTTTACACATACGGTATAAAATATATATTTGGTCTTTCTACAACTGTCACCAATCCATTTTTATTTTTCAGGCTATTTTTTAACTAAACTTTTTTTTAATTAACTAACAAAATAATTTGATGTACAATTTTAATTTATACAGTATGTGTGTGAACATGCATAAATGGGTATATTAATGTCTTATTGGACAAGGGCAAATTATGGACAAATTAAGGACAAATTATTTGAAAATTATTCAGATTTAAATGATAATTACAAAATATTATCATTCAGTCAGTGTAAGTCATTTTTAAAGAGCAAGGAGAGGGAGATGTAATGGTTAAACCTCCAAATATTTGAGGTGTAAAGAGTACCTGAAAACCATATTGAGTAAGATACACCTTCCAATATGGCTTGAGTTATGTGATTTTAACAGTAATTTAGTATTTTCCTCGTACTGAATATAGGCTCAATGATGCACTAGTCCTCAACACCTAAGAAACATGCCAGTGAAAAACAAGAAACCGGTGATTTGTAAGGAGAGCATATATTTATTTTCTAAAATTGCAATGAAACTGGACACCTCAAAATTGCAATAAATCAAGGTTTACACAACAGCCTCTAAAACGTCTACAAGCACTAAAATCTCAGTTAAGCTCAAGTGCTCAGAAAGGATATAAATAAGCCCATATCCTCATAACCCATATACCCAATCCCATATCTTAAAATTAATGTCAAAATAAATAGACCCCTTCGATGTGTTCAGACCGGTGGCACTGGCCTAAGGACAGCCCTGGGGAAACACCTACGATTCACACCTGCTAATGCACCAGCATTCATGCAAAGTAGCCTTTGGGTGAGTACAATTCCCCACAAAATAGTATAGTTCCTACAATGCCTTGAAGATGCAATATCACTTCTTTTGTAGCAGAAATAAACTGCTGCAGAAAAAGTTAGGCATGCAATATAAGTAATTGCATTACTTATCACAAATGTATTGGAGTAAAAAGAGTATTGCTCAAAATATAGTGAAGTATAATATAAGTTAATTACATTAACTCAAATACTTTACACACAGCATTTGATATCTCTGAAAAGCCCTGAATGTGCTCCTTATATACATATATAGACATACATAGTCTCAAGGAAATGCGCTAAAATATAATGTCTTCTACAGAGGACAAACGGCTGGGTCTCAGGAGGAAAACCTGGGGGTCATGATGGCCAAATGAACATTTTTTGCAATTTAATAAACAGATTTAATGTTAAAATATTGAATCTGAAAATTATGTTTTCAAACAGTGTGAAAGGAAACACAACCCAGATGCATATCAGCATTTCAGCTGTGCTACAAGGGTCACATTTCACATAAAATCACATTTGTGTAAAGATCATTGAAGATATATCTCATGATCTCTTTATCTCTCAGGTACATGTATGTTGTGCTGGTAGGCAAGCGTCCGCTTATGGTTTTGTATATTTCCTCTTTTTCTCTCCGTATTTCCCTATTCAGAACTGTTCTGCGAGAAGGACTAAACCATATAACATCTTTTAAAATAATGCAAGTGACAAATTACCAGAAAGCGTCCCACTTTACCCATGAATACTACGCATATTACACAGACCTCAATAGAAGTTTCCTATAAAAGGGTGAAAGCACAGATTTACCAATGAGAAAGGCTTCACCTTTACAAAACACACCTCATAAAATAATGTGACAAGGCATTCCCCTTCTCAGGTTATATGCCTTCCTCCATCTTCATATACCGTGTGTAAACATATCCAGGTTGCTTGAAGCACCGGTTACAGAAATATGCATGTATGAATAGTCTAAAACAAGTGTTGACTGAATACGAGCTGGTTGCAACTGAACTACTTTGGACACAATGCAAGTTGTCATGGAAACGGGAAAATATTGATTTATTAACTGATGAATTTATGAACTCATTTGGTGAGCCAGTTCGGAAATTTGATAAATTGCTCCAAGTAAAAAAACAAAACAAAAAACATGTATCATTTAGCCCCTATAGCTCTAATGCGGAACAGAGGTGAGCAGAAAATCTAGTTTGCAGGTTAAGCTTTCGAGAAATCATGTGCATGAGAGAGACCTGACAGCCAGGAAATGTTCTGCAAATAGTTTCTTGTTTAGTGCTGATCAAACCTGTTCATTCAACAGGCCTGTAAAAGATTCAATGTTCTACTGAAGTCCAGCATAAAGCATGAGCAAACATGAAACAATGCTGAAGAGAAATATTTACAGCTCAACTCAGAGGAAGGGAGCTGGTTTCAGGTACTTTTCAGGTTACTTTCATTTGCATTCAAAATATGAAAGAGCACAGAAACTAAATTCCTCACATACTTAAATGCAAGCAAACAAGAAAAGACATATTTTTTCCAACCACAGTGTGTCTGAGGAGCTCAACCACAGCATTTCAGAACAAGATGAAGCGTGGAAGGTTTGGAAACACTGGATGTGACTTCTGATCACACTGTATATTTAAAGGGATAGTTCACCCAAAACAATAATCTATACATTCATGTTGTTCTTTCTTCTGTGGAAAAGGTATATTTTATCATGTATTCAATTTTGGTCTGTTTGTCAAGTCACCTTCATTTCTTTAGAGCTTTTAACAAAATAGATCAGGGATTCTCAACTCCAGTCCTGCACGTCTCCCTTATTTAACACACCTGATTCAGATCCTCAGCTCGTTAGGATAGACTCTCCTCTCCTAACGAGCTGAGGATCTGAATCAGGTGTGCTAATATGCAGAGCAGTGGGTCGCGAGGACTGGAGTTGAGAACCCCTGATATAGATTGTTTCAAATCAGCGTTACAATAGTAATAAGAAATGAAAGTAACATAAGGCTATCATATGGCTTCTTTTATAATGCTTTTTGTAATTTTGGAGCTTGTGAGTCATACTTGATAACTTCCATTAGCCTATATGATCAAAAAGCCTTTAAAATATATGTCTGTTCCACAGGAGAATGCAAGTCATGTGAGTTTGGAATGACGTGAGGATTAGTAAATGATGCATTGAATGATGATTGAATTAATAATTTTTCAAATTGATGTGTGTTACTTAAAAATAAAAGTTATAAGACTATTAAATGAAGCTCAATAAGGCTACTTTTAACACAGCAGTGGCCAAAAGTGATGTCTTATATAAGAGGAAAATATTAAAAAACCTTTTAAATATGAGGGAAGAACAAAATACTAAATTTGAGAAGTGAAGGTATTTATCTGATAACATTATTTGGCAAAAAAGGCAAAAACTACAATTACAGTGTTAATTTATGCAAAATAAATAAAACATAAAATGCATATAAAAACCAAACGCTCACTGGAAAGACATACATAATCAGTTATTCATATTTCATTTGATCTCACTTGTTTTTGCACAGCCTGGCCAAAAAATATGTCTGCACAATTTTGTATCGTGTTGTCACAAATAAAACAATTGACTCAAAGAATAACTACGCAATATGCTTACACAATATTTAACAGATTTTTAATAATATCCGAAAAAAGGGTGAAGAATAAAGATGTCAGTTTTCCTATAGGCTACGCCGGACATCACTTTTGGCAACTATATGCCGTTTTATAGGCTATTAATGAAACAAAAAATGCCTTATTCTTTAAACAAAGATACATGCTTGTATTGTGGTCTGACTCATTGATAAAAGAGCCTGACAGTAGGATTTTTATTGATTTGGGTCATCTTGATCCATGAATCAGAGCTTCCTCCTTTAACCATAGACATAGACCTTTCTCACAACTTCCGTATTTGTGACCGGAAATACGCAATTGTCGTGGTAAACTTCTTCCGCTCCATTCATAACAGATAGCGCCGAAGGCAACTAGTGAGAGTTGTTGCGTACCGATCTTTTTTGTTATTCCCAAAAGCAGCCATACCTATCGTTTTCATTCCTTCCCTCGTCAGTTCCCTGTCGATGAAGTTCGACGAAAATGGATTCAGGCAATCTAGCGGGATGTTATTGATCCTGTGATCTTCTGTACTTCTCATGTCACCATTCACTAATAAGCCGTCATTGTTTGTTTATTTTTTATGTTTTATGATTTGCGTATTTTTGAAGTAACGTTAGTTCATGTTCAACTGTATTAAGATATTTGTATCCAGCGAATAAGCACATAAAATATACACCACAATATAAAACAAGATAAATAAGAACACACAACAGTGGGCTACATATAAATTTAAAATATTAATATATACCATTCTGAGTATTTAACAATCTGAGTGTACAAGGAATAAATAATATTTGTATAATTTTTCTTCATCTTTGATCGTTCTAGCAACAGCAGTGCAAAAAATTCGGGATAACGTTAACTGTTGAATAAAACTGACAGACTTCTTTCTGGTATTCACATCAAAATGTAGTTTATTGTAAATAATACTCCCTAAATATGAATAACTTTCCACACACTCCACCTTCTTACCTTTAATTAACGTATATTGGGAAGAATGAGCTTCAGTTCTAAAATCAATATCATATCTTTGGTCTTAGATAAATCAGCTGCAGACAAGCATCACCACAGCATTTTACAAAGTCATCAACAACTGGACCATGACAAGTTTAAATTTTTTCGAAGTTTTGAAGACTCTCTGATCAATTTTCTCCTCCCAGAGTAGGTTTTTCTGATGTGTTAACAGTTGACGGGAACTCCGTTTCCACAACGATTACGTATTTCCGGTTTTTGTGAAAAAGGTCTATAGGAAAGAGTTACACAAGCACTCTTGTCTTCTGCCATCTGGTGGCTGTTTTGTGATGCTGTGTTGAAGTAGTTCAGAAACACAACTATTGATTTAAAGGCCATTAAATATCACGACGAGAGACTAAAACCAAACCCATATTCCTTCATTATGCAAAATAAATAATAGAACTGATAAACTAACAAACACAGACGCTTTACTTTGGATCCCTAACTAAATCTGATGATATCTAATAATCCAAATATTTTGGGACACACACACACACACACACACACACACACACACACACACACACACATAATCTGTTATCTGTATATTCTCTTCTTTAACCCCAAACCCATCACAGAAAACTTTCTAAATTTTTAGATTTCCAATAAACATCGTTGAGTATGATTTGCTTCCTCGTGGGGACATAAAAATGTCCCCACAAGGTCAAAATTTACTAGCAGCGTCACCGTGTATACTATATTTTTAGCCAGGGAATACCAGAAGGCTATACACTCACCTGTGTGTCATCCTCCACTCCTTCATTGTTACAATTTTACAAGACCCAGCTGCCATTTGGTTAAAGAGCCAGTTTTGTTCATTTTCGAACAGCCTTCAAAGTTGAATCTGTAGTTTTTTTCAAAAATCGAAAAGCCCAAGGAACTGCATCTCTGCTAAATGAATTGTACGTGTGTCTGTGATGCCTGTTATTTAAATTATTGTTGTGTTTCCAGTTTATACTTACACAACATCTGAAATGTGTGAAATGTGTCAAGAAATGACATAATATAAAATATAAAATGATAATACTGTAATAAAAAAAAAAAAAATGTGGTATGACGTTGGCGGATATAGTTCTTCCACCAGCCAATCACAACACACCGGAGGCGGGCGCTCGTCATTCGCGCCTGAAGTTCTGCGGGTGTCGTTCTTATCCGACGTAAACAAACATTCACGTGCTTTTGAATTAGCTTATATTTTATGTAGTAAATGAGTGACAGTGCACGTGACTGTGTTTGTTTATAATTTAGTAAATGAGTGCGAGTTCATCATGGCGGCAGTAATCCGCAGACTCGACGAGACTGTAGTGAACCGCATCGCAGCAGGAGAGATCATCCAGCGGCCTGCCAATGCCATCAAAGAGATGATGGAGAACTGGTGACACATTTATTGATCACTAGAATAACTTCTATTTAATGATATTTATGTCTACTAACTGTCAATAAGGTTTATCTTTAATATAATAAATAACGTTACTGACTAGTCTCAAATGCTTGATTAAACTTTATTGATTAGTTATGACTGGTGTCTACTATTATCTGGAGCGACTGATGACTTACAATCAGTGACACTTTATATATAACTAATAAATTGTAACTCATGTTTATCAAAATCTATTCAAGAACACAAATGTCACCTGTTTGGAAAAATGACCCTAATATATCATGTGACACAATATGAGACACTAATATTTGTTTTGACTCCTCAGTTTGGATGCAAAGGCCACAAATATCCAGATAACAGTGAAAGAAGGAGGACTGAAGCTCATCCTCATTCAGGACAATGGCAGTGGCATCAGGGTAAGCCGTTTATTTTTACACCGCACACATCGATAGACATTGGTGAAATGCCAAATTTTTTGTTTGCAGCTTGTTGCATTTTTATGCTTCACAGAAAGATGATATGGAAATAGTTTGCGAGCGTTTTACGACCAGCAAGCTTCAGTCTTTTGAGGACTTGGCATCAATTGCAACATATGGATTCAGAGGAGAGGTACAGTATGCCTCACTTCAGCTGATCGCTGTTTTGATTTCTGATCAACTCGGCTAAATCAACTCTCTCTTTTTTATAGGCTCTTGCCAGTATAAGTCATGTAGCACATGTCACAATCACTACAAAAACAGCTGATGGAAAATGTGCCTACAGGTAATTTTTTAATTATATGCGTCAGAGAAACAAGCGCCCAGCCATCTTAAGAATTTAGTGTTTGAACTTCTGTTTTTGCGGTAGCATTGTATATTTCGATGGCATCGCAGTCAAAGAGTAATTAGCTGGTGAAGTGGATTTACTTTATGTAGAGTTAATGAAAGTTATCACGAGCATTGTAATGTTTGAAGCGGATGTCATAATGAATGCCAGTAGACCGGGAAGATTTATTCATAAATCCGTAAGATCTTCACTTCATGCTGTGGAAATGCAAACCGGAAGACCGAACACAATGTTTACTATCCCATGAGGCCACAGAAGAGGATTTATGAGTGGGAGTGAAGCAATGTAACTGACGCTGGTTGGTCACATGATAATGACAGCATGGCGAATGTAGTACGTCCAGATTACATTCATACTATATAATCGGCCGTGAAGTAATTACTTAATTAAAATAAGTACCTACTCAAGAGAGAATGTGATTTTGGACGAAAAGCCTTTATAATTTTACTAGACACACAGAATGTCGTGTAAATACCCTGCAGCTCAATTATTTTATTATTCATGTATTATTTTCTTTTATAAAGTTGTACTCTGGTTTTGTTTACAGGGCTAATTACTGTGACGGGAAGCTGAAATCTCCACCCAAACCCTGCGCTGGAAACCAGGGAACGCTGATTTCTGTAGGTTTACCTGACAGCAAGTCCTTTTTTTTAATTCCCACAATTCCACAAGTAATCATTTTGTTCCCTCTAGGTAGAGGATCTGTTTTATAATGTGTCCACCCGACGGAAAGCCCTGAAGAGCCCCAGTGAGGAATACTCTAGAATCATTGAGGTTGTGAGCAGGTGTGTTCATGACATCTAGAAGGGTTTTGTTCTGCTGCGAGATCCTGTATAACTGTCCATGCCAACCTGTATGTATTTCCTGTCATACAGATACGCCATTCACAACTCTGGGAAAAGTTTTGCTGTCAAGAAGGTGAAATGCTAATTTCTTTTATGCATATACACATTTACTGTAATTGAAGTAAACATTAACTGAAATAAAAAAGACTTTTCTACACTGTAAAAAATAAAACCGTAATTTTTACGGTAAAAAAACGGCAGCTGTGGTTGCCTTAACTTTACCATTAAAAATACGGTAGGATCGTTAAAGGTTTTACAGACTCAACTTAAAATTTACAGTAATAAACCATATTTTATTTTCTGATAAAATGTTGATTTATCAACCTTTAGAAAAATTGATATCTGTTTTGTATCATTGTAATACACTGTCAACCAACAACCATCACAGGTACACAAGCTCAATCATTAATTTAACAACATTAAATGTAACATAAAACCCTAATGTACATAACGAAAAAAAAAAAAAAAAACAAGAAAACTATGAGGAACCATAGTTATTTCAACAAAAAGACATAAAATGTGAAGTGTCACACAGGGAATTGTGGGAATGTCAATTTACGGTTTTTCACAGTAAATTATATAATGAGTTGTTCTTTTTCACTTTCAAAAACTTTTTTTTTTTTACGATATTTTACAGTAAAATTATATCACAGTTATTTACCGTATATATTACGAAAACTTTCTGTTAACCAATTAACATTTTTGCACTTTGTCTTTTACCGTTAAAATCACGATTATTTTTTACAGTTTAACTTTTGTTTATTTCCAGTTGTACTAACAGACTAAGAACTAAAATTACTAAAAATTATAAATGAAATAGACACTTGAAAGCACCAATTAAAATTACAAAACTAAAACTTTAACTGAAAATAGACTATATATATATATATATATATATATACTATAAAAATTAAAAAAAGTATATTAATAATACTAAAATTACAGTACACATTCAGAAAGTAAATTATATACTAACACTGTTCCCTCTAGCAAGGCGAGATGGTTGCAGATGTGAAGACTCAAATGAATGCCTCTGTGCTGGACAACATTCGTGTGGTGTTTGGTGTAGCTGTTAGCAGGTACTTTTATTTGACCATTTTCCTGGATTATAAACATTTAAACCTCATTTGATGGTGAATCATGGAGTGAGGCATTTATGTGTGTGTTTCAGGGAGCTGATTGAAGTTGAGTGTGAGGATCAGAAACTCGCTTTTAAAATGAAGGGCTACATCTCCAATGCCAACTACTCTGTCAAGAAATGCATCCTTATTCTTTTTATCAACCGTATGTCTTATGAGTTTGTTTCTATCTCAGTTTTTAAAAGCAATATGTGATATCATTTGAGTACAAGACCTTCATAATTCTGTCTTTGTTGTCTTTTAGATCGCTTGGTGGAGTCTAGTGCCTTGAAGAAAGCTATCGAGACTGTATACACTGCTTATCTTCCCAAAAACACTCATCCTTTTCTTTATCTGAGGTAAAACATTTCACTTGATGCGAGTATTCAAATGTTTGGGGTCCATGAGCATAAAAAATTAACACTTTTATTTAGCAAAGATAGATTAAATTGATCAAAAATTACAGTAAAAATGTTTAATTTAAAATAAATGCTGTTCTTCTAAACTTTCTATTCATTAAATATTCCTGAAAAAATGGTTTCCTCAAAAATTTTGACATTGATAATAATAAGAAATGTTTCTTGAGCAGGAAATCAGCATATCCAAATGATTTCTAAAGGATCATGTGACACTGTAGACTGAAGTAATGACGCTGAAAATTCAGCCTTGCAATCGTATGTTATATTGAAATAAAATATTTTTATTTTAAATTGTAATATATATATATATATATATAGTGTAAGTCACACAGAATATTTGAATATAACCCGAATCTGGAAATGTTTTACTAATACTTGACAACTGCTCATTGTGAAGTCTAGAGATTGCTCCTCAGAACATTGACGTGAACGTTCACCCCACCAAGCACGAGGTGCACTTCCTACACGAGGACAGCATCACCGAGAGCATTCAGAAACACATTGAGAGTAAACTGCTCGGCTCTAACTCCTCACGCACATACTTCACACAGGTGAACCTTCAATTGCACAGTTCATTTTTTATAATCGTCCAATTTGACCACCACTTTGACGCATTTGCATGATCCCCAGACTCTGCTTCCAGGACTCTCTGCGTCCGCCAGCGTGGCCAAAGCCTCTTCTTCAGCAGACTCCCAGGAGCGCGTGTACGCCCATCAGATGGTCCGCACTGACTGCAAAGCCCAGAAGCTGGATGCGTTTCTCCAGCCGTCAGGCTCTCAGTGCAGGCCAGAGAAAGCCTCCAGCCCCCCCGCCGCTGAGCTGGACGACTCCGAGCTTCTGAATGCTGTTGATCTGGAGCCATGCGCCTCAGAAGATCTACAGACAGACTCTCCTCCTAATGAAGCACCACTGAGGTGAAATGCAGGAACTTTGGTCTTACTAGTTACAATAGAAGGCAGTAGTCGAAGGCAATCCTGTCGTCTGATTGGTCTTTCAGGAAAAGGCCTCATGTCGAGGAGGTGAAGGACGATTTGACGGCCGCCTCTCTTCCCAGGAGACGCGTCATTAAACTGACCAGCGTTACGCAGCTTCGGGAGGAAATTGAGCAGCAAACTCACAAAGGTCAACTATATCCGCTTTAGGAAATAAAACAGACTGACATTTTAGTGTTAATTAATGAAAATCTCCCTCGACTATTTTAACAATGGAAAAACCATTCAACGTGTCCCATCCCAACTTCCAATGGAAGAGCAGTAAAGTATAGTAATAGTTAAATGCATATTAATCTTTATGAAAGGAATTCAAATTCCTGAGAGAGTAATTGTAAGTTTTGAGCATTTGCAAGCACAGTGCATTATATTTTGAACAGAAACGAACAATTGGCAAAAAAAATTAGATTTTGTGCTCAATAAATGTATTTGATATTTTCAAGTCCCCCTCTCTCTCAACCTCTTAATTCTGTGTGCGCTCACTCGACACACGCTCGCTCAACTTGCAATAGCGTTACAAATGTGCAGTGCCACAAAATCAACCAATCGGAAAATTAAAGGTCAATTGTGATTGGCTGTTGCGTTTAGAATGCTTGAAAAGGATTCAGTCAAACTAACTTTAGTCACAATAGGAGATATAGGTTAAACAACCACAACATCATTATAATACACAAAACTAACAAGGCACTTTTAAGTTAATAATAATAAAAAATACTTACCAAAATGTGTTTTAATCCATTAGTCTCGCTGTAGTCAGTTTTTTTTTTTAATTTTTCTTTTTTAGTAAGCTTCCGGGATGCTGTAGTGGTTCTAGCGATTTGATTGGAGACCAACAGCCAATCACAATTGACCTTTAATTTTCCGATTGGTTGATTTTGTGGCACACTTGTAACGCTGTTGCAAGTTGAGCGGACGTGTGTCAGGAGGTGAGCACACACAGAATTAAAAGGTTGAGAGAGAGAGGGACTTGACAGGAGCGCAGAGAATAAGTTTGAGAGAGCATAATATACATTTATTGAGAACAAAATCGTTTTTTCTTTGCTCAAACAAATTTTTTTTTTTGCGATTGTTAATTTCTGTTCAAAATATAATGCACTGTGCTTGCAAAGTATAGTTCTCTGTGCTCAAAACGTACAATTACTCGCTCAGGATTGAGGCACACATATAACGCCATACAATACAAAACAAGTTATTTAGTCAAGACTAGTTAGCTATTTCTTTTTTTTTTGTCTTTTGTTGTTTGATTAACATTAAAACGCAGACAGCAGCGCATCAGGAATATTAGATTATGGATTAATCTTAGATTACGCAACAGACAAGATTTATGCCTTCATGCAGTTCATTTATAAACCATCAGTTTGTTATATTGGCATTTTTCTGATCAATATCAGCGGCCGATGTTATGTAGTATATTTTGTCCTCCACAGGTTTACAGGAGCTGCTTCAGAAACACTCGTTTGTGGGTTCAGTCAGTCCTCAGTGGACTCTAGTGCAGCATCAGACTAAACTCTACCTGCTCAATACAACCAAACTCAGGTTACAAACATCAGTAACTAATTCATGACTACTTGCAGTACATTTTCCATTATTTTTGAGGAATGTTTATAATATAGTTGTTGACGAACATACATTTCTCTCTCGTTTTCTACAGTCAGCAGCTGTTTTATCAAATTTTGATCTACGATTTTGGTAACTTTGGAGTCCTTCGATTGTCGGTGTGTTATTGCATTCGTTTTTATTTTTGTTATAATTTTTCAAAAAAGGTCTGTTTGCTAATGGTTGCATTTGGCAGATTAAAACTAAAGTTATTTCTTCAGAATCCAGTTCCGCTCTATGATTTGGCCATGTTGGCTCTGGATTCAGAGGAGAGCGGATGGACGGATGAGGACGGACCAAAAGAAGGACTGGCCCAGTATATTGTGGATTTCCTTAAGCAGAAAACAGAAATGCTGGAAGAGTACTTTTCCCTGGAAATAGATGGAGTGAGTGACACATTCTACACGTATAATCAAACGATTAAATATGAGAGACTGCGAGTGTTTATTTAACCTCGCGTATTGTGCTTTCAAATATACACGACTGCCTTACTGTAATGCAGACTCTAGTGCTTTCACAAAAGGCCGGCAACAGCAATAAAATGAGATGAGATACTAGTCGAAATCAACATGGTGCTTCATAACTCTTGCATTTCTTTACAGAAAGGGAACCTGACTGGTCTGCCAATGCTGCTTGATAATTACACTCCTGCCATGGAGGGACTTCCGATGTTCATTCTGCGTTTAGCCACTGAGGTCGGCATTGGGTTTTGTATTTAAAATAGATAATAGATATTACAATAAAAAAAAAACGGATCCAACTAAATAACTGATGGATGATGCAGGTGAACTGGGATCGAGAGAAGGATTGTTTCCGGGACTTCAGCATAGAATGCAGTCACTTCTATTCCATAAGGAAACGCTACACACTGGAGCCGGATGCAGAAGAGCCACAGGTAATGCTCATGTTACACACAAAAATGACATTGTGGGTTGTAAGAAACTGGGAGAAACTTTGATGCATTCCATTTTTTTGTGGTTAATGTCAATGGTTTGATTACTGAATCCTAAATGTGCATGTGACTTGATGTTTATTTGTAGGATGCAGAGATGAGCTGGCAGTGGAAGGTGGAGCATGTGCTTTTCAAAGCTCTTCGATCTCTCTTCAGCCCGCCGAAACACTTCAGTGAGGATGGCAGCGTTCTCCAGATCGCCAGCCTGCCTGACCTCTACAAAGTGTTTGAAAGATGCTGAAGTTCAGCACTTTGTTGTTCTGTGTAATAGTTTCAACTATCAGAAATTTTATTGGTCAGCTGATAATTCTAAAATGGCTAAGACCACAATTCAAATCTGTCACGTTATTTCAGATGTCCAGCTAACATTAAAACAAGGATTTATAGACGTTTGTACTGAAGATGAATAAAAAAAGATTGTATTTTGAAATATTAAACGATGTTTTTTATTGTGAACTGACTGAACCGTTTTTGAAAACCGTCTTCTCTTTCAAGTCACATTACACATTTATGCATTGGCAAAGCTACTTGGATAAATAAAGCAAAAATATGAAACGGATATCAACGACAATTCCCAAAATCGTGTTCAAAGGAGAAGTATGTGATTTTTACACCAAATTTAATGGCAAAAATTAAAGGCAGGGTAGGTGATTTGTTACAGAAACATATTTCGTTACAGTATGTTGGTTGAAAGTCTCTTCACATCACTAAGTTAAAGGGATAGTTCGCTTTGAAATTATTTTTTGATATGTTTTAGCTTACCTCAAGGGCATCCAAGATGTAGGCGTCTTTGTTTCCACAGTATTTTCCAATTTTGATATTTTTAGGTCTGTCAGTCATATAATGGAGGTCTATGGTCACCACCTCAAAGAGCATGCACAGAGAAGTCCAAATTAAACATGATTTAATGACTCGTAAATGCAAGTACACATTGATGGCCTAACACATGAAACGAGCGGTTTGGGTGAGAAAACCAACAGTATTTATATCGTTTTTACCTTTTGTAATAACAGTTACGTCCAAGTGATCTGAGGCCGTGGGCGCATCGGTCTGTGGAAACAAGTCACCTACATCTTGGATGCCCTTGAGGTAAGCTAAAACATATCAAAAAAGAATTTCAAAGTGAACTATCCCTTTAAGTGGTCTATATATACAGTATATATCATCTATGGAAGGCTTTGGACATAACATTTCCGTCCAATCATTGAATTCGGTCCGATGCAATGATTTAATGTCCTGCCATCTCCACGCACCAGCTTGCGCAGACATCACACGTCATTCATACTAAACAGACCTCAGTCACGAGCACCGAAACAGCAGCCACCTTTAACAGTTCCTCCTGATCCAAAACAATGCTGTGCTCATGCCAAAATTTGTAAAAGAATCCCGTGACGCTATACTCGGAGCAGTTCGTAACGCAATCAGTCGGGTGGTACAGGTCAGTGCTCTTTAAGTTGTTTATGTTCATTATTATTGTAACATAATGTGCTTTGAGACACGAGGTAGTTTAACGCCGTCACTCGTGATGCTTTGGAAGGAGGCGTGGCTTTGGAGATGTTCTGTTCTGAAAGCTAGTTTGCTATTGCTAGCCTCTGAAAATTGCCTACCCTACCTTTAACATTCTCAAACAATTAAAATACGAGGTCATTTGAAACATGTGGCCATTGATTGAGGCCATTTCAAACATACTACAATTCCAAGGTGTAAAAATGGCACCTTTAAAAAGTTCAAAAATAACTACTGAAAGAGAGGTCAGTTTGTAAATCATGTAATTTATTTACAGTATACTTTGCAGTCGCTTTAGTTAAAATCGTTGTGTTCATGAAGTGTCAGACAATTTGTTTCTAGTGTGATTAAAAAGTTGCACCAAACCTGATTACAACAGCGTGGTGAAAGGCATTGAGCGGCATCGGTACATGAATCTGAAATCTTCGGTCTTTATCTGCGAGTTAAAATCGTTGTTGCATTTAGTGTAAAACTGATGTAGTCCATTGTGACAAAGCACTTCAAAAAAACCTAACAAAAGTCAATGTGCCCTGCAAACGATCACAATTCATGAATCACCCACCCATTCATACTGCATTCATTTACATATTTATTTCCAACAAATATTTTAAATACTTGAAAAACAAAAACACTTAATTGAAACCATAGCAGACATGATTGATTTTTCTATACCGTTCAACTCATGGGTGTACCCTTTATTAAACACATTAAAGTTTTCTGTACCGGTAGAAATATGTTTTCCTGTATAGTGTTACAATGCATACGACCCTCGCCCGCCCCCCCCCCGTGAAGGCACATTGCTGTGTAGGCATTTACATGGACGTCGAGGGCCCTGCGGTCGTGTCGATTTACTGTTTAAAAGCGCTTTTATACTCGTTCCAACTCGGATAAGAGGAGGGGGAAGAAGCACCCAGTCCGAGCAATGAAACCTCATCAGCTACCGTGACGTACGAAGCCTTTAAAACCAACAAAACCAGCAATATTCTCGGGTTCAGATAAGAAGCACAAAGGTTTAGATGTTCCCTCCCTGACCGTGTTGCCTTAGTAAGGTGTAAATCTGTATTTTACCACAGGAGGCAAGGAAACAAGGTAAAGGGCCTGCAGATTTCTTTTTTGGTGTCCAACTGAAAGGTGTCGGAGAGTCTCTCTTCACTGCTGGGATAGAAGAGCGTTTCTGTTTGCTTTCATCTTCTCCAGCCGCTTTACAAGATGGTTGTTGGTCATTTCCATTTCTTCGATCTTATCCAGGGCAGTACGCAGCTACAAATGGAAAAGAAATGCGTGAGGTTAACTCTTGATTGTGACTAGGGATGGGCAACGATTAATCGCATCCAAAATAAAAGTTTGTGTTTACATGATATATGTGTGTGTGGTGTAGGGCTGCACGATTCTTGCTAAAATGTGAATCACGATTTTTCTCCATGGGAATTGAGATCTCGATTCTCTTACACGATTCTCTTTTTTTTCCATCCAAAATGTATTGCACTCAAGTAAAAAACAAAAACAAAAAAAACACAAGACAGTCTAATAAAGTGCAGTAACAAAATTTTTTTTTAAATTGTTTAAGCTGGTTCTTTGGGGCTAGCCTATGTAGCTGTCTGTGTATTACTGTCATGAACTAAAAGTAAGTGTAGGCTGTATTTAATATTTTCTGGCTAGTTTATTATAGCTTTTTTTAGAATCAGACATCACACTTTCACCAAAACTGAATAATTACAAACAAGTTTAAATGGGTAGCCTAAATCTTCTATAAATATTTGAGTCTTCATATCTAAAACTCTCCAAAATGCTCTATGTGAAACTGCGGTCTTCCAAACTTTCGTGTTGTTTGAAGACCTCTCTCTCTGCCCTTTCAAGCGCAGCAGTTTCTATTCTACATCATCACTCGCCGATCAAACTAGGCTTTGGCGGGACTAATATGTGCTTAAGCGGCCTCCAAAAAGCAGACGATCTGACGGTTTTAGAAGATTAACAAACCGAAATTAAAAAACAGACTCGCCCTATTTGAGACGAGCTTTTATTTACCCAAACCTGCAGCCACACAGGCGTGTAAAATATACAGGCGTCTATGGGACTCGGCTATTATTTTTATATAAGTTTTAAGGTACTTCAGTTCTTGTTAAAACTGACTAGACATTGTGTGAAACTACTTTTTGAGTGAAATCATTAATTTTGTCCCTCAAAAGTGTGCTTTCACTTTAATTGAGCGCGCGTTTCACTGCTGCTCACGCGCTGCCCCTGCTCCCGGTGAATACTTTGATTAACATGCAAGCCCCAAAAACTTTAATTTAGACATTCCCTGATGAAACGTCTGCATGATTGATTTGTGAATTATCGTTTTGTTTTTGTGTGAGTGTGACCAATATAACGCGTGAATGCAGCATGATCTGAATGCAGGGAAATACACGGAAGTGAATCGCCATCATTAAGAAATGAGATCGCATTTACGTTTGAATCGAGATCGTGATTTTTTTTCGATTAATCGTGCAGCCCTAGTGTGGTGTGTATAATTACTTTGTATAAATAAATACTAACACATGCATGTATATATTTAAGAAAAATGTCTTCTTAATATATCAAATATTTATACATTATATTAATTATGTATAAATACATATAAACTACATACATGCAAATATTTCTTAAATATATACATGCAAGTGTGTGTATTTATATATACAAAATAATTATACACACGACACACACATATATATTACGTAAACACAAACTTTTATTTTGGATGTGATTAATCACGATTAATCGTTGCCCATCCCTAATTGTGACTTTGCTTTTCTCTATGATTTGCCATTTGCATGGTTACAATTGTGAGAACCCCGAATGTGAATGTGTCATGTGTGTTTATATCAGTAGCAGAGATGGGCTCATACCTCCCTCTGAAGTTTTCTTCTCTCTGCTTTCAGTTCATCTTCTATCTTTTCTGCATTATCTGCTGAATTTTTATATCTGGACACCTGTCCTTCAAGTCTGTTTACCTGCAAGACATTCAGAAAATGACAAGTTATACCAGTATTCAATTTTTATTTATTTTTTTAATTTTAACATATATTTAAGATCTAAATAAAGTGGCAATATTTGTTATAAGATTAAAATACTTTTACTGATTGATCCATTTTGGTTCTGATTACAAACTCACATTTTGTTCCATCGTGGCCATTTCCTGTTCAGCCTTTGAGAGCTTGAATTTGTATTCACTTATCTGCCTATTGGCATCCCCTACAAGGAACAAACAGTGTTAAAGCATGTAAAGGTACATTTAATTCTTCAGCGTGTGTTTGAAGCGTGTCAGAGGTCGTACTCTGCATCTCGATGAAATGCAGGTCAGTGCCGTTCTCCATTCGCTCTCCTTCTGTGTAAACACTGTCGATCTTTGAGTGTTTTTGCCTTTCTTCCTCCAGCTGCATCTTCAGTTTTCTGATCTAAAAGAGCACAGATGTGTTACTTCAACTCATCTATGCCAATAATCCCGTTGAAACCATTTCATGCACAAACATACCTGGGACAAAAGTTCATCCTTTTCATCCGCAAGCTTTCGTAGTCTTACATCTGTAGTATGAAGACAGGAATTAAGCTTTATCGTGCCATTGCTTCAAACTAATACAAATAAGCTTAACAGTGTGTTCGGAGACTCACCCAAAGGTCCGTCTCCTGCTGACTCCAGCACCTGCGCTACGTCTTGTTTTACCACGGTCATGCCTGAGGTAGGGGACTCGAGGCTGACGTCTCCGTTGGGCATGTCCTCGGGTATGATGACCAGCCCATGTTTCTGTGAGAGCAGGAGAGGACAGTATAGGAGCATAATGTATAAAAGCCGTTTTTAATGGATTGATGCATATTGCATAATTAAGTTTATTTATAGGAAACCTTATGTAGAATTGATTCCAAGGAAAAACTGCATGCATTCTTTATAGAGAAAGCAATCCCATAGTGTACTGACAAGCTCAGTGGTGCCAGAAATTACAGATAAAATAGCTAAAAATAATTAAAACTGACTGCTTTAACACACACAAAAAAGTGTCCTATGAAATGCAGATACAAACCAAATAAAAGGAGACGAGCGCAACAAGCCAAATACTTTCCATTCAAACGATCTGTTTATTATTGTTCTAAAGTGCTGATGTCAAGCTTCCCGTGCAGGACCACTTAAAGGACGTACCTCTTCCATTCGGCTTTTCCCCTTGAGGTCAGCCAGCTCATCCCTGAGCTCATCTCTCTCATTCCTAATGCAACCAAAGTATTCTTTCTGTCTCTCTAACGCCTGGCCACACACAGGGCAGGAAAAGAGAGAGGAGTGAAGAAAACAGTAGAGACAGCAGCAGACACACACAATGAACACCACCTTCAGTTAGGACTGGGCGATATAGATAAAAATGATATATATAAGGATTTATTGTGGAGTGAGGGTGAGCTATGTTTATGGTGTTTTTAAATATTTGTTTTAATTTACACTTACTTTACAATAATTCAGAATCTGATGAATAAACCTACATAAATTTATGCATGTATATAACATATGCATAAAAAAGGGGTGGGATCAGAAGATAGCCAGGGATCTAGGACCTACCTAAGCATATTTTTTAAAAATGCATCAAACATCTTAAATTATCTTAAATTACTTTTTAAACCGTTTAACTGTTTAATTATGAGCATCCCTATTTGAAACTTTGAATTGCTGGCACTTCTTGTGTAATTGCCTCCTTAAGATGAATGGCTAGTTGTATTCCTCAATTGTAAGTCTTTGGATACAAGCGTCTGCTTACTGAATACTGAATTAATGTTAATGTAAAAAAAATGACATTGATTAACTCATAACAAATGTTCCATAATATTGCCCAGCCCTAGCTTTAGTCACAGATGGTAGGATGAAAATAGACCATGCTGACAGATGAACAGTACAGGAAGTGAAGAAGTGAGGATATTAGTTTATCTATATAGTGTTGCCTGTGCTTTTCTTCCAATCATCTCAAGTGAGTATATTAGAAGTAAAACAAACCTTCTTCAAACACGCAAGTCTGGATGTTATACATTTTCATGCATTATGTTTCTTAAAAGTTTTCAACTCTACTGTGTGGTACCCAACAATTCTGGTGTAAACAGCTGAGGCTCATGGGATACCAGCAGAGGGCAGCACCATGCATTTACAACTATTGAAACTGCCAATCAATTTCTGTAAACTTAAGCATACATACACTGTTCATAAATCATATATATATATATATATATATATATATATACACACACACACACACACAAGTATATATATAATTTGATCAGCCTTTTCAGAATCAGCCCAAACAGTATCTCCTAAACCGTCATACCGCAATCTTTTTGTCCTTCCAGTTAACAGTTTCCTGCAGGTCAAACACCTCTCTTGTGAGGGTATCTAGTTTTTCCTGAAATTTCTGGTTCTCCTGGAGTTGTGTTTAATAAAGCAGAGGAAGAAGAAAGACAGATTCAAAACAGACACCACAAAGCAGTAATGAGGCGGAACATATGAAGGAAGAAAACAGCAGGATCTCAATGGAGGAGAGTCAGTGATATAGAGAATCTAAACCTTCCTATTTCATCTTTGAAGAACATAAAGAACGAACAACACTTTCCCTCAAAAAGATTCCAGATCATCTACAACTTGATTATCCTGCAAAAGCTTTGAAACACTTAGTCTAATGCAGACTCTTTTTTTGTGTTTTGGATGTTTTCAACTGAATTTATGATCGATAAACCCTTTCTGTTCTGGTCTCTACCTCGATGAGCTCATCTCGATGACGAATGCCCTCCTTCAGCTCCTCTTGTTTGTGCTGTAGAACTGAACATGTGTGCTTCTGTCGCTCGAGCTCCTGTCAATCAAAAGAAGAAAAATACATTCACAATCTGCCAAAGCTTGTGTTTAGGGTCCTAATTATTAATTAATCGCATCTAGCATAAAAGTCTGTGTTTACATAATATGTGTGAATATATATATATATATATATATATATTAATATATTTAAATATATTATATATATATTTCTCTGTGTGAGAAATATATATATATATATATGAAGAGTTCAGATGCAAAAGCCTCTAAATGCCATTTGAAATTTTCTTCAAAAATGACCATTTTTATCAAGCTTGTATATTTAAGTTCAGTAATTTCACTTAAATGGCAATTAATAGGTAATCTTCATTGCTATTTAAGTGAAATTACTGAACTTAAATATACAAGTTTGATAAAAATGATAATTTTAAAAGAAAATTTCAAATGGCATTTAGAGGCTTTTGCATCTGAACTCTTCATATACACATATACATGCATAAATACCAGTATATATACACTCACACTCAAACACACACACACACACACACACACACACACACACACAGGATATACACACAAAGAAATACACATAAAATATATAATGTAATAATATATTTACACACATTACTTTGTGCATTGGCAATAAACACAGCTGACCATACATTGTTTTTTTGCCAAATTAATCAAAAAACAGTTTTATTAAGCAACAATGACCAATTTAGTACCTTTGATTTCTCCTCTGTTTCCCTGCGCAGCTCTGACATTTGCTCTTCCATCTCCTCTAAAACATCTTTGAGTGTGTCCACTTGGTAAATGAGGTTCCCCTTTTCGTTGTCCAGCTGAGCGTTGGATACCATGGCTTTCTTGTACTTCTCCTCCACTTCTGACAGAGATTCCTGATGATAGGGAGGAAAAATCCTTAAAACAAAAGTACTGCAAAACCACTACAAACACAAATGACAGGCAAATTAACAAAGCAGACTCTGATCACTGCACTGAAGATTAGATAAAAATGTGAAGTGCAGGTAAAAATTGAGGAAGTAAAAGTGTCATACAACTCAATGCTATACATAAACTGAAACATTGTGTTTCATTCAAACAAAAATAACGACTTTTTACTAAAGTCAAGCCCTTTTACTAAACAGACATTCCTGGTCTTACTGTGAATTTGTTTAAAGGCTAAAATGGTAAAAACTTGCTCCTCCTCTTCAGCTCCTTTGCTCCAATCACCTGTTCAATTCAGGTTCATTACCGTTCAAAGGTTGAGGTTGATAAGATTTTTAGTGTTTTAGAAAGAGGTTTATATATTCAACAAGGCTGCATTTATTTAATCAAATACAGTAAAACTACCCTGGCTAACGCCAGACCACGTATCATTGAGAATGAGATGTGGTCTGGAAACCACATGTTCATTTTCTCGTATTTAAGGCGTGGTTTACGAATGCCCGGAGCTGTATTGGGTGCTACGAATGTCTATGCGCCTGTACGTAGCTCATAGCCAATCGGTTCAATGATACCAGATGACGTCACGTATGTAGAGCGACAGACAATTAGATGAGGAAGAAGAGGATGGGTCGGAGATTTTTGTATACCCAAAGGTTGCATCAAAAGGTAACTTCACGTCTGCTGCCAAAATTGATCCATAGATATAAACAAACTGCTTCAGTGTGTCACATGTACGTCATCATCGTCTTGCCACTCCCTTCCCGTTCTGTGATTGGTTCCCTATTTCAGGCGAAAATTTGGTTCATGGTGTCCAGGCTGCCTAGCAACGTGAATAAAATCACGCTGTGGCAAGGCAGCATGGGGAAACCCAGGCTAGAGTAAAACAGTAGTATTGCGAAATATTAATACAATTTAAAATAGCATTATTTATTCACGTGATGGCAAAGCTGCATTTTCAGCATCACTACTCCAGACTTTAGCTTCACGTGATCCTTCAGAAATACTTTGGATATGATGACTTGGTGCTCAAGAAATATTTCTTATTTATCAATGTTAAAAAATGTGTGCTGCTGAAAAACTGGACGCATAGAAAAAAAAAAAAAAAACCTAAATTAAAAAAACAACAACATTTATTTGAAAAAGAAATCATTTGTAAGATTGTCTTTCCTGTCACTTTTGACCAATTAAAAGCAACCTTGCTGAATGAAAGTATTAGTTCTTTCGAAAAAATCTTACTGACCCCAAACCTTTTAACAGTAGTATATATACAGTAATGGCAACTTCTTAAAACCCAATCACTTCTTAATAGATAAAAATCAAATCTTTCCCTGCATTAACACTTGTTCATGTAAGGCTTCTTCACAGGGTCTTACTAGTATCAGGATATGTAATGAATTAAATATCTACAGCATCCAAATGTGAACTGGAAAAACACTAAACATTCTTCACACAGCTACAGCTGAAACATCCAATGTAAAGGTGTATCTGAGTCTCCATCTTTGTTAACAGTAGTTTGTAGTGAGGCAGAAGACTTCCTTTGGAGTGATTACCTTGTGGGACAACACAACTGTGGGCTAAACGTGACTATAAAGAGCTAATGAAGTGATTGAAAGACCCATGCAAGGCTCATGCGTTCAGACTAAAGAGTGCCCTGTGTCTGATGTGTTAGTGGAGGATGAGGAAAGGCATGCATTGAGCTCAGGACCCTCTACCTTCAGCTCTTTAAGACCCTGCATGTATCGGCCCTCTACATCCTGAATCTGGTCCTTTAGATCATAGATGTCCTGTTGAGATGGATGAATGAATCATGGGAAAGGTTTGGCATTCACTGAAGGTCAGAGCGGTGACCTCTTGATTGTACATTTTTACAAACACAGAAAGGGAAAAAGCTTCCCAAACCCATTCAAACACAAAGAGGAAAGAAAGGAAAAGATTAACAGACACAAATAAAACCAAATAATGCTGGGAAATGAACAAGTGGATTCTCTGAGATCAAACGCATTCAGTAGGAAAGTATGATGCTCTAAGCTTAACCAAAATGTGTTCAAAGGCAGGTAGATTCATCCTATTTTAAAAAATCCCCTATTACAGGAGTTTGTGTTGAATGTGTAAACTAGCTGACTGCAGATAAACAACATAATTACCCTTAATTCGCTGAGAGAAGCCTCTGCATCCATAATGACGCTTCCAGCATCTCCGCTGCCCCTTCTAGACGTGCTTCCTCCCAGAGATGCCAGGGCAGCTGCGGAGAGCGCCGGGGTGGCACATCGAGAGGATGGCTGCAGGACACGAGAGCACCCATCATCAACAATGAATTAAAAGCTGATTCAACAACCTTAACACCTGTTGGTTACATTTATTTGCAAAAATGAATTTTTGAGAAGATGCAACATCATTTGCTTGCAGAGGCAAATTGGTTGGATATTTTATCATCAAATGCAATGACATTCATAAATTTTTCAGCGTGACTCAAATACTTTTTGAAGCTGCTGTATATTACCAAGTTTTATTGATTGATTTTTAGAGGAACTAATTGTGTATTAAGCCTAACCAAAAATTATCTAAACAAAACGTTCAAAAGTACAGGGTTAGTATTTTTTTATTTTTTTAAAGAAGTCTTCATTTATTTGATAAAAAATACAGTAAAAACGGTAATATTGTGAAAATGTATTACAATTTAAAACAAATGTCTTCTATTTGAATATATTTCAAATCTAATTAATTTCTGTGAATTTTCAGCATCATTACTCCAGTCTTCAGTGTCACATGATCCTTCCAATATGCAATTTTTCTGCTTATGAAAAAATTCTTATTTTTAGGATTCTTTGATTAACTGAAAGTTCAAAAGAACAGCATTTATTTGAAACCTTTGCAACATTATAAATATTATTAATGTAAATGTACCTTTACTGACACATTAATTTAATGCATCTTCTTTGCTAATTAAAAGTATTATTTTTTTTTTAAGAAATAGTAGTGCATTTAATCAGTAATGACAACAATAACATAAATCACTTAAAAGCTCCCAATCTGGAAATATTGACCAAATACAGATTAACTTTACCCTAATGAGAAGAGTAAAATTAACTACAGTAGGGTCTTAATCATGGCTCAGATGCCAGTCTACAATGGGAAGTGGAAAATGATCTCTCTTTCTCTTACCCGACTGAAGGTGTCTGTAAACTGCTTGTCACATTTCTCATCGAGCTGAAAAAGAAGACGATACCATTACTCACATTGAAACTATTAGAAATACATACTTGGCGTAATTTGAATGGCTATTAACAGGGTTTTGCCTTAGTTAGTGGGATTTCCAATAAACTGATTGAGGCAAGTCATGCATGACACATCCAGACCAGAGTCAGTGCTCTGGCTTTACCAAAAATCTGCTATAAAACCAAATGCTGACAAGTAACAGATTCACACGCAACAGACGTAATGGTTAGATGCATTTAAACAGGAATGATCAAGGCAGTCTATAGCTGATTCACTTATTGTTCAAATAATACATGTAGTGAAAGTTCAACTTCATTTGATACCTTCCTAATAGAGACAAAGCAGTCGTCCAGTAAAATGTACTCCAACTTTCACAGAGTATTAAGCCATGCAAAGTAAATAAACTTTAACAAATACCCTATCCCTATAAGTCACCATCCAGTGGTCTTTAGTAAAGTTGTCACACCGGTTAATACTTCATGCATGTCTTGACTCACACTATCCAGGTCTGGGATGCTCAAATCATCAAGATCAGAGACAATGCTGCCCCTGCGATTAGAGCGGCTGAAATAATCAGCAGCCGTCTCAGAGATATCCGAGAAATCAGACAACTACACAGACAGACAAGAACATGAGAAAGATAAAAAAAAAAAGAAAAGAAGTAACAATGGCAAAACCTAAAGAAAGAAGTTGTTTTTGATACATATATTATATTATTTTAATGAAAACAATGTGGTTTTTATTCTGGCTCACCACACTATCCCTTCTCCCACGTCGACTTTGGGACACAGTGCTGACAGAATCGTCATCAGAGGATGACTAAAAGTTTAAATAAGGGTGATTACAGAGAGGAAAAGAACATTGGCACAGGAAATAAAACCAAAAACCATATGTCATGACTTAAGCAGAAGATGTAACCATTTCAGGGAAAAAGCCAATCTTTTAATAGCACTCCATTCGTATTAGTGACAAGTCATTAAACGATGTCAAGATGTTTTGGGCAATGAGTAACAAAGACACCAGCTGCATTCCTGTCCCACCTTCAGGGAACAAACTCAAGACATCACTGATGCATCCACATTTTCACACTTTCAGATGATGCTTCAATGCAACAAAGAACTTATTTGAATACATTTCTGGACATACTATATCCACCATGAGGGATTTAACCTTTGACCAGGATGTTCTTTGACCAAGCCATCAACAACAGCAACAAACAATTCACTCAGTTGTTGTAAAACAATTTAACCTCAAGGGACACATTTCTGGATACTTACACTGGAAAACAGCCATTTGTCTTATATTTCCCTCTCTAACATTTACAATTCGGCAGCTTCTCAGCTCCTCTGGCCTCATGGAATAGAGGCACATAAACAAATTTGTAGTCATGAGTAGGAGTGTTACTATGTGGCTATGGCTGTCCGGGTGTTACTCTGCAGTTGCTAAGGTGACCTGGATGGTTGCTTGGTGGCCAAAGTAATAAAAAAAAAAGAAAAGTCTGTCGTTCGTTCGTTCAAAAGTTGAGTCTGTAAGATTTTTTTGTTGTTGAAAGAAATGACTACTTTTTTAGCAAGAATGCATTAACTTGATCAAAAGTGACAGTAAAGACATTAATAATATTACAAAATATTTATATTTCAAATAAATGCTGTTCTGAAATTTCTATTTATATAAGAATCCTGAAAAAAATTATCACGGTTTCCACAAAAATATTAGACAGCACAACTGTTTTCAACATTGATAATAATAAGAAATGTGTCTTGACAAGCAAAATCAGAATATTCAAATTAGAGCCTGACCGATATATCGGCGGACCGATATTAGGTATTTTCCTAACTATCGGTATCGGCATTTATAATGGCCGATAAATAAATATTTTTTTTAATAATGCTAGTTATTAGAATGGGAACACTGAAAAATGAAATGATACAGCTTTCCCATCACAGGAATAAGTTACTTTTTAAAAAAAGAAAAATAGAAAACAGTTATTTTAAGCAGTAACAATATTTCACAATTGTACTGTTTTACTGTATTTTGATCAAATAAATGCTGCCTTGGTCAGCAGAAGAGAGTGCTTTCAAAAACATGAAAATCTTACCAACCGCAAACTATTGAACAGTAGTGTACAGCTCAGTCCTTGCTTCAGTGTAGGTCTCTCAAGGTTTTTATTTTATCAAATAAACCTTAAGTTCAATTACACAAAAAAAAGAAAAAAAAAAGTATGGCACACCTTTCCTTAACATGCCAGGTATCATTCACGTTCGTAGCACATACCAATGCAGGATGAGTTACACACACAAAGTTCAATACCTGGATTTTGACAAGAAAGAACATCTACTTTCAAAATGTGTATAATACAGTAAAACACACACTGGCGTTTCAGAATCAACATATGCACGATCAGCTGCTGTGCGACATGCTGCAGCTCAAGACACATGTGACGCTCACCACAGGGCTACTACGGGTAGAGCTGGCACCAGAAGAATACCAGCTGCATTCAGAGGGCTGCGGGCAAAAACACTGACCACTGAGCTAACGCTGCTCCAGGGATATATGGCATGATTGTTATTTTAAAATATATACTATGGCATCACTTACAGCTCTTGAACCATATGAACTATACAGACCATCGTCACATATGGAGGCCTGTCAAAACAGATCTCACAATTTTTAAATGAACAGATGATAAAGAGGCTTATAAAACATGGTTACAAAACTTGTTTTATCACAAATCAGACTGACCACACTACAGCTGCGCGTCAGACCTGCAGAACTGCTGCTGGACGGAGCCTGTGAAGGTCAAACAATCAACAGCTGTCAGATATCTCTACTAAACCACTGAATCAAACCAGACTAGCTTATAAAACTGAAGGAACAACCAATACTGGAATAAATACACTGACTAGACAAGAGAAATGAACTAAATAGAGTATATCACATTGTAATTAGCAAGTAGGAACTTTCCAGGAGGACTCAAAGATGTTTCCAACCAAAGATTTGCAATGTGAGAAATAAACATGCAGAAAGGAAGCGGACAAACCCGTGGCGTATAGGTAGAGACGGAAGAGGGAGGAGGTTTGGAGTTCTTTAAGCTGGTGTAGTTTCTTTGGTCATGATACAATCCAGTCTAAGGAAGTGGTGTAAAGCAATGGAGAATAAACACAGATATCCGACACAGTAGTAGTTATTATTCTCAAAGATCGTGCTCTTAACCAGGAAGAACATGTTAAAGATGATGCATGAAGCAGCACTTGAGTTCAGGATGTTGAACAGCACTAACCAGGAGGTCCTTTTTGGAGCTACTGCCAACATGTTTTTTGTGAAGATCATTATATACAGAGCTCTGAAAGGAAAAAGCAGAAATGTGTAGAATTCTTATTAACAGGATTCATTTTAGAAGCAACAGAACCTAGTAGGGCTGCGTTATTTTGGGGGAAAAACCTAACTTTTTCTGATAAAAATTATGATTGCGATTTAAAAATGTGATTTAAAAGAAAAGCTCTAGGTTTGCGGTGCTTGTTTGTAAGGGTGTGCAATTTGCCCCCCCAAAAAACAACAACTTCATAATGATTATTTAATAAAAACATGTTTACATAATAAGAAATATAGCTCTTTCACGGTCAAATAAAAAATTAGCATTCAAGAATAATAATATCATAATTTTATTCTACAGTACAACTGTAAAATGTTATTTTTAAAAATAAAAAAAATTATTATTTATTATTATTAATTTATTATTTTTAATAAATTTTTATTATTAAAAATAAATTAAAGTTCTTCTGTTTTTTTTTCACTATTTCTCATGTTTAAGCACTTGTGTTATTGCCTCTTTTAGATTGTTGAAATGCATTTGTAAGATTCTTTGGATAAAACCATCTGCTAAGTGAAAAAATTCAAATGTAATGTAATATTTACACATTAATCCATAAAGCTTTTATTCTGGCAGAAAAACGCAGGGAGCTCTAAAAGCTTCTCTTTTGTTGTCGACAGGTGTTTTATAAGCAATTCTTGTTACAGGTTTAGGAAGTGGTTGGCATACTGCGTTCCCAAATGTACATTAAAAGTGACCTAAACTTCGAGCAGGTGCTGATATGAGTTTGTGTGGACTGTGGAGGAGTAGTTCTCTGAGCTCTGAGACACTGAAAACAGATTATAAGCTGCTTGCGTGTAAAATAACAGCGCCGCTCTTCACTCTGAAACATTCAGAGTATATTTTTATTTCATTAAATCACAGCATTTGCCATTTGATAATTTTAAAGTCACTAAGACTAAATCTAAATCACTGATTTCAGTTTTATTTTGATTAATCATGCAACCCTAAAATATCTAGTCATAGATATCCACAGTTATGATCTCATAGGAGAAAGCTGGAATGAACGAAGATCCCAGATTTTGCCGTCTCCACTTGTATTAGTCAAACAGGAGAACTTTAAAACACTTAAATGCAGAACAACTGACACTCAATGGAGAAAAGACAGATACATACAGTGGAAACGGAGCTCTTCAAAGCAGAACTACTGGAGACACCAGACTGCAGAGAAAACAGCAGTCAATACAATCAGCATCTATGCTGGATATACATATAACATGAATTAATCCATGCCGCAGACATGCCATGTGCGCTAATAAGGGAGCATTATGTCAGACCTTTTTGTGTTAGTGCCACAACACAATGAGTCAGTGGTGGTATACTTTTACATTTATAGAAAACCACTCAACTGTGCTAGTCAACAGCACAAAATCTGCCCGTTATGTCCACACATATCAATCTTGAAGTAACCTGCATGCAAATCAAATGAGGCTTTTATAACATTATTCTTTAGCTGCCTTTTCAATGTATGAATTTCAAAATTTGCTTATTTCTAGATTTTCCATGACCATGGAAACACTGTATATCTTGATTAATAATCAGCTTTATAATTAGGGCTGCCCCCTAATAATTGACTAAAGGTTAGTTGACGAAAAGAGTCTTGGTCCACTAAATTTTAATCAGTTAATCAGAATATTTTTTTTATATTATTTTGAATATTATTATTATTTTTAAAGATAAGGCTGTTTTTAATCTTTGTTTATATTTATATTATAATGTTTATATTACAGGGAATTTATTTTGTTTTTGTTCTGATCTTAAAAGGTTAAGTGATATGTGCAGTGTCACTGCAGCTGAAGTGCTTTATTTATATTTTAAATGCTCATTGTTATAGTTTAGTATTTTCCAACTAATGGCTTAAATGAACATCTAACAGTCAGCCAACTAGGGAAATCTTTAGTTGGTGGCAGCACTTTTTAGAGTTATACAATTTTCAATAAAATAAAAGCCAAATTATTTGTTACATTGACAATCTTGGCCACAAAAAGCTTGTCTATCTTTTGAGAGTGCAAACAAAGTTAGTATGCAGTAGTCTAATTTAGAGTTATGACACATCACACACACACACCCACAAAAGAGAAAACCATGTTGCCAAAGTACACACAACACAATGCCTAGATAAAAACACACACAGTGACGTACCAACAAGTCTCTTCTCCTGGAAGAACTAAGCCGACTGGAGTGATGAGAACTGCTCAAGTCTCGCAAAGAGGACGAATTTGACTTTTAAAGTAGGGAGAAATCCAACAGGCAAACATTAATTTGCCATTTCCATGGCATGATTGCAACATGTTGTCTCTAAAGGAGCTTTTAAAACTACTCTCCAATTGTTTGTGATTACGGGATCAATTAAAAGAAATGCTGAATAAATCGGCAGATTTCTATTTGCACCAGGTACCAATATTTCAATTAAAACAATTAGTGCTCAAATGTTTCCAATATGACCTATTTCACACTTGTGGGTATATATTACTCTACACAGGTCCTGAAAATGAGCAATATATCTTCATAAGAGAAATTAGTTCTAAATGTACTTTCAAAGTCCAGAATCACACACCCTATAACTTCCGACACTCCGAACCGACGCTGTGTCATCATTTAATCCCTGTTGATGAGAGATTGGAAGAACACAGGAATAAGACCAAAAAATGAAAAGAGAAAGAGCAGAAGACAGACAGCACCATCAGGAGATACAGACCCGTCGGCTGTGGCTACTGGAATGATGACCATGACGGGCCTTTTCTGCATCAGCCTGATATGAAGAGAATGAAGGAAATAGCATTTAAACGAAAGAACGCTGCATGTTTTAGGCTGTTAGTGTTAGCCTTCACTGGCAGTCCTAAACAAACTCTAAACACACTTAACATGCTGATATTAAGGTCTATAATGGCCTGTTCAAATATCAGGGCAAACATAAAAGCTTACTAGCAGCAATATGACAATAGGGGCTACACAGCTACAAAAAAACCCCTCAGTTTTTACCCCTTTGACAAGATATTTACGCATTTGCTTTTACTGATGCAGTTAAATAGTAAATATCTATCTCAAAATAAATTAATGCATATTTTCCACAAATTTATTTGCTGAATTTATTTTGATTATTAATTTATAAAAAAGTGATATATTTTAATTAAAAATCCTTTTCCTTGATATGCACCAATATACAATTCATTATAAAATAAACAATTTAATAGATGACAAATATAGTGCAGGGTTCCTTCATTAAAGATCATAGCTGCTAATCATTTCCAAATAAAATGTAAAAATGTATTAAAATCACTGTGATATTCACAAATGGCAAATACATCAGGAATGTATCATAAAGTAAATGTAGCCTGCCCTATAGGTAATAGTTTTTATACACACAAATTGGAACACTGAGATCCAATTTTACTGTATTACACTCACATGCACACACACACTAAAAAAAAAATCGTGAAAAAGTGAATCCAATGCTGTCCTAAAAGAATACTACACCCCAAGGGTTCTTTTATAAATTCACAAGAGCACCAGTTATATTAACAAAACATGCATGTGAGCCAAATTCAATCAAATGAGTGTGTGAGAATACAGATAGCACACTCCCATCTGACGTTCTTTATTAGTTAAAGGAAAAAGTACATGCATGTCCAAACTGGCCTAATCTTTCTCATACCATCCATTGGTGGATTTGCCCCCATTTCCTGCTAGAGGAGGAGTGCTGATGGTAAGACTGCTGTGAGAGAGAGACAGCCACGAGACAAACACAAAGACTTCTATTGCAATATGACAGTGGATTGTTTGGTACTTGTGAATTTCTGACAGTGAAAAACATTTCACAAACAAAGACTCTGACGAATAAACCCATTAAGATAACATTAGACATAGGCCTACTGAAAGCATGTACTTCGTAAACATATTCTTCCAACCAGGTCTGTGATTGTAGGAACTCACAAGTACAGAAAACACTGACGGATACAGCTGACATCGATAACTGAATCATTCACATGTGTCTGCAAACATTAAAAACACACTGTATAGTCAAAGGCCTGTTTCCACTTATGAGCTTAGTAAGTCAGCTAGCTAAATCTGGTTTTTGAAATCTGGAACTATTCGTGAACACAGTCATACTTATTCTTCTGTACAAAAATGTCTAAAACAACACAGGTAAATTACTCAAAAAGCTGCTCGGAAGATCTCTAAAAACTATCTTTCAGCTCCAAAGAGAGATGACAGTCTTAGGAGATCAGGAAATATTCTGAACAAAATACAGAAACTGTTCCAAAACTGCCTTGCTGTTTATTGTTTACATAGTCAGCATCCTAATGGAAATGAAACCTCATGAGTGATCGATTTGGAACAAAGTTATATAGTCAGCAACTCCACCCATCATACTAATAGTGCTCATCTTACAAGAGACTCGGCTCAATATTTTCATAGAGTTTTGCAGTATCATTTTTCTAAGGTAATGGCCCGTCGCAATGCATTATGGGTTTTCTGTCTCCATGAACGATATATGCAAAGCTACATGAATTAGGATCAATGAAGGACAGATCTGCATGTCAACAGACCTAAATTAAATAAGTATAGTAACGTACAGTAAAGTACAGTAACATTCTGGATTTGGGCAAAGGCACAGGAAAGAGATATAAAGCCCTTGAGAAACTGTGTATTATAGGGGCTTTCGTACCAGTTATTTCTAGGAACTAGCCACCAAGGTTGTTCCCCGAGAACAAATGGTTTCATTGGAACATTTTCCTGGTTGCATTCGCACCGGCAATAGGAACTCTGAAGTGATGTAAGCTGCACTTGCTGTTGTGACTAAGATTCCTCCGGAATTATATCATTCTTTAGGCAGCAAGTTCAAGTTCCTTTTGTCACCCTATATGTTTTCTGTAAAACTCACCTCTTTCTGCTGTCGCTCCAGTTCTCTCATTCGGATGTCCCGGGCCTCTGCGCGAGCAGCTCTCTTCGCAGCAAGTCTAGCCTCGGCCTGCACAAGAGAGAAAACAGACTTCATCTAAACAGCTGTAACACTAGGAAAATTCTGTCTGGACACTTAATGGTACACAAGACCTGAAATTTTGTAAAAGAGTCATCACTCTCATCAGTGCTGGATTAACCGGCACTCATATTATTCTCTACCTTTCAGAATCTGAGTCTCATTCTCACTCACCCACTTAAAATGCAAAATGAGCCAAGAATTATTACTGTGCCCTATGTGTACATTTAAAAAACAATGTTACAGTGTAGTTAAAGATGCATATTTCCACCAAGTTTAGATACAAATATATGCATCTTCACTGCATTTTCAACTGTTGGTGGCATTTAAGGCTGAAGGTTCAAAAGTCATAAGAAGAACAGCCATCAGAGCTGTGTGTGGATAGAGCACATGCTGATGATATATATAAGAGCAGCTGGCTCACGGGTCCTATATATTCAAACCAGAGTCATGTCTCGATCCTACTGGCTATCTTACTCCCTCAACTACCCTGTCTCTCTATAGTCTGATAAACAAATGCTGCATAATACCCATAAGACAAATAAAAAACGTGGGGGAACACAGTCATATTTTCCATGCAACCACAGTTGGGGAAGCAACTGCTTCATAATACATAGATAGACATGATATAAGAAGATAGAAACCATGGTTGGGTGGGTATATTACACTTCACTGGACTGTTTAGTAAAACATTTAGTAGCTTGAAAGAAGGCAGTGTTTCACCTAGGATTTTTTCAGGGGGGGTTGTAGACTCCCCAAACTACTAGTGTCGCGGAGCGGGCGTGTTACAGATTTTTGGACATTTTGGTATAAAGTGTTTTAATTCGACAATATATGGTGTAAAAACGTCTAAGTGCTGCCCTCTTCAGGTTGAACGGTGGCAACTCACCACACCCTTGCCTTCAGAGAGATGCGGGTCTCAGGTGAACGCCCCTCCACTGGGCTCTGCCCACTTTTCCAGCATTTTTCAAATATTGCCAGTGGGTGGAGTCAGGCTCTGACCAGGGATTGAGTTACCCTTTAAATAAGGACACCGGCCTGTTTTGTAAGTGATGGCAACCAGGTAATACGCATTTCCGTGACAAAGGCATAACTAGCAAGCAAACTGTAGGCTGTGGTAACTTATAGTACTGAAAGTAACTCGCGATTGAGCGGCGAACTGATGTGAATGTGCTCTAGTTATATTGTTAGGGGAGGGGCCAGCCTCAGTGGCTCCAGTGCGTCATCGAGCCACCGTTTTAGCCCCACCCAAAAAATCCTGAACACAGCAATGGTGCAAAACTGTTTATCGGTCTAACTCCACAATTCATTACTTCGCAGTTCACAGTCTTTGTAATGAGTTTTAGCAATACATTTCAAACATTTCTAATGTGTTTAGATTTTATTGTTTAGAATTGCCTTTACAGGGACTTTAAGTGTTCATGTTTGCTGATGAGATGTCTGTGGAGGGTGAGGTTTGGTAAGTGTGGGGGTGAGGCTGAACGCTGAAGGAGGAGGTTGTCTATAATTCACGTCTATCAGAAGTACGGCTGAACTCAATTACACCATCTTTAACTAGGCGAAAAAACAACAAACATGATTCAGCAGCAGTGTCTAATTTAAGATCAACAACACAGGTAAACACATGCTGGGTGATTTCTGACTATCACATTCCTCATGTGACACACACATGCAATATGACCTGCTTACATTTCCCAATACCCTACACAGTAATTAATTACATCACATTCCAATGCAATTATGCCTTGACAGAAAGGAGAGTCACTTTGCAAAGTATGCAGCCTGACGGCAAACATTTAAACAAAGCTTACGGAAAATCTTTAAACATATGGTGAGGTTAGAGAGGGTGGGCTCGGTGTGTGTGTGTGATTCTTCTGCTCAGCACCTGTTGAGCTGTCTGACAGTTTGACCAGCTCACCAGAGCAGCTCAGCTGAGCCCAGTGTCTCCAGCTCTATCTATAGCACAGCAGAGCCTCCGTCATGAGACTGCAACAGGAAATCTGAGCGAGGAGAAACACTTACTTCACAACCTCCAACATAGCCGTTCATTTATTAGAGACAGTCTAACTGTATTCTGCAGAACAAGGGAGCTCTATAGTGGGACTGACCAATGAGATGCCACAGACACATTAAACAATAAGCTTATCGAAGTCGGATATGGAAATGTTTGTTATCGAACTGTAGAAATGTGTTATCGATGGTGGTCACAATAAAATGCAAAGCGTCTATATTTGAACTGGTTCGTTATTTAAGTATGTCTTGACGTTTAACATGCATCTATATTTTTAGGATTCTACAGTCCATGGCAGAGTTTCTTTGCACCACTTGAATGTGATGAACTGTTACTTGGGTTGTCTTGTCTTTGTTGACTGCAGGCAAAACAAAACACAACCGCTGTAGTCCGATTCACAAACAAATGACTTATAAGTCATATCTTTTAATGAATCATTCAAAACTACTCTTGAGTTGCCAGTTTGAAAAAGGCTAACCTGAATAAGTAATAACCTCACTGAATCCTTTAAGAACACAACAGAATCGAACATCTGATTAGTCAATGGATTTCCACTGAAATCAAAAAGTATATAATGAACATGATAAATGTAACGACATCAGAGAAAAAAAAAAAGCTTTTGAAGCAAGGGCGCTGCCCTCTTGCATTACTACAACCTGTGACGTCAAGGGGTTGGTTGTCTCGCCTGAGTTCAACAGATACAACGCTAGAGAGACAAGACAGACAGTGAAAGATAAAGCCAGAAACAGTGAAAGATGGAAACTGAAACGCCACAGGGCATCAGAAGACAAAAGGCAGGCCACTATTGCATTGCTCCTGGATGTAAAAGTTAGTTTAAAATGCATGTAGTTAGTTAGCTACACTTTTTTTTTGTCATTGTATAAGGTAGGTATCCACTTTGAATATTACACCTGGCATAAAACTATTACAGTATGTTGACCTATTTCAACCTCACATTAAACCTTAGACAGCAGTGCAAGCCAGGAAATAGCTAAAGAAATATCACACCTTGCCCTAGATACTCCAAGTTTAGGGGACTAGCTCATTTTGTTGATTTGTGGCTAATGGACCATGCAAATCACTGGCATTTCAAAGTGACGAGACTGGCCAGAAACATAAGTGACCTCCACAGGGGGTCACACGGCTCAAATTTACCCAAAGTAACCTGGACTATGCACAGGCAAGTCAAGCGGCATGCTTTCAGTTAACAGAGACTTCTGTTAACCATTAGGGAGTTTCCTCTGCAGTAGGCGCGAAATGGGTGGATCGAGAGGAAGGTTCAATGAAACAACAAGCGAGGGATTTGTGTGTGCTGTAGGTAGACCGTGATTCATAATCTTTGGACTGCATGGGTGGAGTGACTTCTGAACTTCCAGATACAGTAGATCTAGCAGAGTATTTCCTAATGTAATAGGTCAGCATGCATTCAGCTTCTCTCAACTGTAAAAACGTGTGAATGACTCAATGGGTTCAAAAGTATGTGAATTCCAACAATGCAAGATCTCTCTCACGGCAATGCTTAAATATTTAGATATTCAACAAACATCTTCAATGCGGCTTCAGTTTCACTTCTGTATTACAATTCATACCCTGTAGCATTAGATTTCTGTTTCCTCTTTTAAAACATCCTTATATGGTCCACATTCAAGTTGGAAGATATTGCTGCTTTTACAGAGAGTATCAAAAAGTAACAACTGCCTTCTATTTCATTCGCATTAAACGCTAATACACTTGACCCGACCGCCCCAAAACAGTATATATAATGCATCATCTACATACTCTTGTTTTTCTTTTTCTTTTTTACTAAAAAATAAAATAAAATTATATTATTTATATCAAACCCTTATTTTAATGAAACCGAAATTGCAATCATCTTTTCTTCTCTATTGTGACGATCCGAGTAACTAAAAAAAAGTAAGACAGAACTTGATTTTGTTGATTGGAAATTGATAGAATCATTTGCAAACTGCTGCTACCTCAAGTGAGTGACAGGTTGCTGGAAAGGATGCTTTAATGCCTAGCCTTCTTGCTGGTGCACACATTTAATCAGAGAAGTGATGTTGCTGTAACGGGAAAGGGAAGTCAGTGGTTTGGATTTAAGATTACAAGGGGACATGAGTATTAAAAATATAATTATGTGCACAGTAAAAATTATTTATAATAAACAGCAATATTATAAAAAAATATATAATTGTGGGAATTGCCAAAAAAATCGAGTTTACTACTTCTGCAACAGCGGAATAATTGATTAGTGGAGTCGGCTAGTTTATCAAGATTTGTTCTTTTTTTAGTTTTATTATTTTAAGAGCCAGTTAATGCTGTATCACAGCAACAAGAAACGCATTTGTTACTGATAATGAATATTGTAAACAAACAATGAAAAAGGATGCAAGACAAGACATCAAACTCTCTCACTCATGATTTTATATCTAGCTTAGCATCAAGATCATCCCATTTGGTCACATTAGGGCTCTGAAATTAGAAATTTGGGTCATACAAGTTAATTTCAGGTTGAAGTGTCCCAGAACACAGCACTGATGGCAGCTTTTTTTACTTGTGTGCACATGTGTGGAGCAGAAAAATCTGAGACAAGTCCATACTGGCTGCTCCCTGCTCAAACTGTGAGTCAAACTTCATCAGCTGCAGCTCCAACTGGCAGAACCTGAACGTCCACATATTAACACATCACAAAAGAGCTATTAGGGACTGACCAACTAAATAATGCAGATCCTATCCTACAGTGTAGAGCTTACATAGCAGACGTTTACCTTAACCCTATAAAGATTACTGCATCATATTTGAATGACAATTCATATTTTTTAGCAAGTAAAAGGCCTTTTAGCATAATTGTAAAAAACATCTGTGAAATCTTCATACTATGTGGTCCATAAAAGCCTGATGCATCACATATGATACAAAACAAAATGATTATGCAAACTTTTTAACTGTTAATATAAATAAAATGTTCCATTAAAAATAAAATATTTTTTCTGACTTTCCATATGTACAGGGTTAATAGTTTCATCCCATCCCAGTCACTTTCAGTTAGGCTCCACATTTGAGATGTCATAACACGCCCTTCTCTTTAAAACGCCATGCCATCTCAAAGACATGCCAGCAAATCCAACATCAGCAAAGCCAAAAAGGCACAATGATTGACAGCTGGAGAATGTTTCTGATTACAAGGTGTAGTCCGCTAACCTGTACTATTTTACGGAGCCTAGAGCTGTCACAGAGACAGGTACATACGTCTGTCATGTAAAGACATTTTTCTTTGCAGTGGAAAACATAAGGAGAGGGTCTATAGAATGGCAGTCAAACTCCAAAAAGGTTTGACATCATTGACAGCAAACGCCACTGGTTCTCTTGTGTCATGTGGAATCGAAAAGGAGATTTGAAAGCTACAGTGGATTGTATGATTATAAAGTAAAGACACCAATCTGACAAATTTAGTTAATGGGATATTGCAGTATTTATTATAAATGATTAATCTTCTGTGCACATAAATTGTTTTATGCGATGTGGCCTTAAAACAACTGCCCCTCCTTTTTGCAGTGACATCTCTCCTCTTCTCTAATGACATGTTGAAGTCAATAGCAAACAAGGATTCAATCAATTCCCGATGGACAAAATAAAGTCATGCCCTACCATTTTTTTTCTCATTCCAGAAGCCATTTCGCTTGCATATAAGTCACAATAGAGACTATAAAAAGACTCACAACTTTCGTTTCATGCCAACTTAAGTAAATAACGCCTGAATTTCAATCGGTTTCTCATTATTTGTCTATTTATTTGCTTAAAAATCACTATGCTTTTATTGTAAACACATATATGAGATCATAACAACATCAGGGTGAGCAAACGACAACAGGAGTTTCATTTCTGGGTGAACGCCTCCTACGCTTCCTTTATTGTGGTCACAGGAAACCACCAGCCACAAGATGACAACAGTGAGATAAAAAAGGGTCACAGGTGAACACCTCGGCTCTTACCTCTCTGGCGATGCTGCTCAGAGCCTCATCCTCCGCTGAGAAACGGTCTTTAACCGGGGCCCGTTTTCGTCCTGATCCTGGTGTCCCCATGTCAGCAGCAACTCCACAGCTGAATAAAGATCAACTTGCTTCCCGTAATATTCTGCAGATGAAGACAATGAATGGCAAGATAGTCCATGTAGAAAACACTGAATGAGATGTTTACGGTCTCATCTCTGAAAGGCGGCCTCTTTTTGTACAACATAACCTTAATGACCAGTTTGTTGAGAATATGAAGCAATCTAACTGCACACAGCAAAGAAAATTGCATCGGCAGTCCTTTTTTCACTATGCCACTAAATTCAGCCACCTAAGTGTGTTATTTCATAAAACATTTCAAATGTATGTAAGATAAGCTTGGCCTTTCACACTATCTCATACACCCACAAATAGAGGCTTTAGTCATGTGTGTCTGGACTCAGAGCTGATTAACACCAGACACACAACACACACCTCATAATATAACGTAACAAAGCAGAGAAATATCACAGGCACAGGAAGACTAATTAGTCCTTAAAAGCAGCTTCATCAGTTCTTATTTGCTCTTTTGTTAGCCAATTAGTTTATACAATGACAGTTATTTAATAAGCACTTTATTTATCTAGACAAATAATACCTGAATATTAAGTAGTTTAACCAAAAAATTGAGCGTACGAAAATCATCCTTGATTGTATCATATTATATAATTAAACCAAACCCATGTTGAATGTGTCAGGATATTATAATATCAGTTCAATAAAAATATATTTATAAATAAAAATCTATATTTGTATTGATATATGCTGGGGTGCTAAATATAAACCAACACTCATTCAGTGGCGTGACAGACTAACTTAAACCACTTTATTTTCCAGAAAACAAATAATTAGCATATGAGCTTCAGCATTAAACACATGTAATTAGCATTCCCTACACAAAGCTAAATTTATGTAAATATTTAAAATGATAAATATAATCAGTAAAATTCAATATTTTTATGACTCTAGTTAGCTGTTAGCCTGCTAGCTTGTCCTCAAAGGCATAAAGTGTGTAAATGTCACTGAAGTCTCGAGCCGTTAATTCGCACATTATATTTTAGTGACCGGTCTGGACTTTCATGACAGTTGGTTCCGTAAGTGCCGGTTTCTTACCGTTTCTCTCCGTCACTGTTCCGCTCGAGACTAGGGTCGGTTCGGACTGACTCTGGGACCCGGGCGCGTTCCCGCTGACCAGGGTGAGCGAGTGCGCACGTGCGCGTGGCTGTTTGAGTGAGCGCGCGCGTGCCTGCGTGACAGCCACAAAGTGACACTGTCCGTCACCTCAAACTTTCCCAAGAAAACGGCCCAAGTTTTGTCACGAAAGGCTTAAAAGCAGCCTACCACCACTAGTATGAGTTTAACTTAAAAAATATATAGAGAAAACAGACAGTAGATGGCGAGAAAAACCGATACACTACCTTAATGGTCGTTCCAGTGTTTTTTCCAGCTTCGCGCTGAAAGTCCCGGATGTTGGAAAAGAGGCGTGGTATTCGAACACGCCTAATTCTAGTCCCCTAAACAGAAAACTATTCAGATCATTCAACAGAATCTTCTGTCGCGTCCCTGTGTAATATTGTTTATCCCCCACTAGCCCTTAGCAAATGTGTTTTTTTTTGTCAAAAACTTTTTAGGCTAAACATTGTTATATTGTCCATGTTACTCATTAATATCAATAAAGCTATCCTAAATCTAACCAATTTCATAGAGAAATCTTAATTATAATTTCTAATTTCTTGATGTATTTATAACTCCACAGAATGCAGAGATCTGTGTTACATTTCCAGTCCAATAGTGACCTCTAGTGTTGATTTCAGAATATTGTCAGAAAGTGAGATCAGACATGTGGATACAAATGAATTAATAAATACGTAAATAAAGCAAGCTTAAAATAATAAAAATAAATAAAATGGAAAAACACAGCAAATAATAAATAAAGATTGGACTCTACGATCGGCGGAAGTTATCAAGCATCCTTAAATCTTCACCGGAAATACCGCCGTGCATAGAGCCCATTAATAAGTACTAGTTTATAGTACTTGATTATTCGAAAATACCTTTAGAAAAATATAGCCTACTAGTATCTAAAGAATAGTAGCCTACCTAAAGAATAAACAATGGTACTTAATGGACACCTATGAAAATCTAAAAAAATAAGTAGGCCTACTAGTAGCATGAAAATAGATACTAGTAGGTTTAAGGATTAAATGTTAAGACGGCTTGCCATACACAGGGATACTGTCGGTTTCTAATGCGGTGGCTCCTCCAACATTGCAGGGGACGCTAATGAGCTCAGTTCGCTGATATTTGAACATTTGAAGAAAAAGATCGCACGTCGCTTTCCTATGACGCAAAACCGATGTGTGTATGAGTGTGACATTGGTGTGAATGTTCTGAGCAGGTAATAACGTTATTTATTCACACTATTTAATATCACTTCACTTGTACATTTTGACTAATGTTTAGATAGATGTTTGAGTTAATTTTCTCCCGTTGGTTGCATCCTTTCACCGATAACTGAAGCAGTTAAATAACACGAGGTGTCAAACGCCAGATGCTATTTATTAATACTCGTTAAGTTATATTATAAAGTTATATTAATGTTATTCTCATTATTACACATTTTGTATTGTTTTTATTGTCAGGTTAGGATGGCCCTGTCGTTGTCCGGGGTGATTTTGCCCAAATTGGTGCAGCAGAGGACTTTCAGGTAAACAATTTCCTCATTTTTGAGGTTGTACTTTAGTTTGGCAGGGTTCCTACATTATTACAGGGTTGTAATATTGCAATTATTATTTATATTACCATTTATGACAGCAAAAGTTATAGAAATGAATTGGTCATGGCACCCGTGGTTGTCATCTAAAGACGGTTGGTGATTTATTAATACCACACATAATGGGTATTCAAATGTTTTGTTCTCAATATATGATTAGTGGTTCAGTTTCTCAGAAAAGTTTAAGCTACTTTTTAATGATGAATGATCATTGTTTTAATTTGTAGCCTTGTCATTTAGCTTTGAAATAATGATCTCACATGTTCTCAACCAATATATTATCAATCTCACCGCAGTGTCTCAGCAACTGTGGCCGCTATTCAGAAGTTAACACGCGTGAGGGTGGTCGACAACAGCGCTCTTGGAAATGCCCATCACCACCGTCCACCAAAAGTCATTCACGTTTACACCAAGAATGGAGTTGGTAAAGTGGGAGACAGAGTCTTACTGGCCATTAAAGGACAGAAGAAAAAAGCTCTCATAGTGGGTCATAAGATGCCTGGAGCACGAATGACCCCACGCTTCGATTCTAATAATGTTGTTTTGATTGAAGAGAATGGAAACCCCACAGGAACAAGAATAAAAACTCCTTTACCAACACAACTGCGCAAAATGGAAGGGGAATATTCAAAATTGTTAGCCATTGCTCAGCGATTTGTTTAGCGTTTCTGTAATCTGGGAGGGCAACTACTTATCTTTGTAAATAAATATAAAAATTTGCTTTCATGGTTACTTGTGGAAATATTTGTAATAAAATATGTGGATATAACTTCTGTTGTTATAATTTTGTAGAGATTGTTACATTATCCATTGATTTAAAGTGCATCATTTCTGTTTATAGTATTCCCAAATATGTATGATTTAAATATTACTCAAATCACCATTAAATGCTCCAATATTTCATGTTTGTAAGAATGTTTCAGGCTTTTTTCAGAACACATGAAATGAAACAAGTTCAATTTTAACAACAGAGTTTATTCTAAAACTCCGATCATAGGAAGTCAGTGACAATGTCTACACAAGTGTTGCATTCTGCATCTAAAGCTGTTTTAATAGGATGCATTAGTTCACCTTTTAGGAGAACATGAAGTACACTATGGCACTGTCAGTACACAATCTTTTAGAAATAAAGGCAGGTCTTCTTTTAGGACAAATGCAAAACTTGAAGCTCACTTGATATTTATCCCATGCACATGATGTTTCTCAGCCATTCCATCAGTCCTAGGGAAGCGGTGAATGGAGGTCCTCTTCTGCATTTCACACTAGATAGGTTTCCTTTGTAGTGTAACTGTAATATGTTGTATTAATAAATTCTTTAAAAAACTAGAAGTACTTTATTCTAATGAGGTTATAGTGGAAATGAGATTGTTGCATTGAGGCACTTTGCAGCAGGTTCTGGAGTTGGACATTAATGAAATGGTTTACTTCAACCACACATGGTCATAAAGAGCCACTAAACAAAAGGAAGGAGAAAGAATAAGTGTTTTGTAGATATCTGAACATTTAAATAATCAAGAAATCAAACCAAAGCACCTCAGACAAGTTCATGTCAGCCGTTCCTGTTCCATCTTTGTCCAACTGCTGAAAAGTTCCTACAAGGAAGTGCAAGACTATGAAGACGCTAGCATAATGTGTTTCAGTGTAATTTAAAATAATTAAAAGGCACCATGTGATTCAAAGAGAAACACCTACTGAACATGCACTCGAGTTTGATCAAGCAGCAAACAAAGTTATCAAAATCGATGACATCATTCTCAGCGTATCTGGCAACAAGGATCTGGTTGAGTCTATTGTTGAGTTTAAAACCTGTAAAGAAAATCAACAGGGTGAGCTTTCAGAGAAGATTGTGGTAACACTTTACAATAAGGTCCTATTAGTTAACACTACTTAAAGGAGTTCACTTTTAAAACTCTTTACCTCATAAAGGAGTTCACTTTTCAATTATGGCTGATAAATATTAATGGACAGCAAATTATCTTAATGATCTTAAAGTTTTTGGGCCCTGTTCGTGAGTTTGTGCCAATAATGAAATCCTCTTTACCTGCTGATTCTACAGCGATACGCATCTCGTAAGAGTTCATTGTCCCTGACTTATCAATATCAAACTCTCTGAAGATCCCCTGAGTAGGAAAAAAATGCATGAATTATTTCTATTGAACACTATAAAGAATCATCTACTGTATAAACATTTCAGAATTTGTGGGAAACACAATGCAAGTTTTAAGTTTTATTCAGTAGGCTAAGATAAAAAAATAAATAAAAAAATAATAATAAAAAGGTCTCCTCTCACCAGCAACTTCCTTATTTTGTTCCAGAGGATCTGAAACTCTACTAAACCCAAACGTGCACTACCATCTTTCTGATGAACGGAGTCAAGAACAAAAACTGATGCAGGTTTGTCTGATCACAACTGACATGCTAAATTACCAGCATTGTTCCAGAATAAACTATTTGTTATATTATTAACATATACAGCTAACCTTTCTGTAGAAAGCTCTATCCAATATTTCTGCTGTCAGTACATTGCCATTTAAAGAAAAAAAAAAATGTAAATATATAATAGACTCCCACTGTATTTGCATTAATGTAAACAGGATTATTGCCTAAATGATTTTCCGTTGTAATCGACAGAATGACACAGATGCTATCAATAGAGCTTAACTTGTATCTAACCCAGAACTATTTTAAATAGTGAAGGATACATCCAAGAGGTTGACCATCGTTCTGCAGGACTCCATGCTGAAGCCGTCTGTCTTCAGATCCTTGTCTGAGAGAGAAATGGTTCATTCAATTCAGTTAAACAGGTTCATTTTGACTGAGTCGACTCCAAGTGTGAGCAAGCTGTTGTGTGTTACTCACGTCTGGACACTACTCTGTTGAGAATAGTCTTGAGTTCACGGACAGATATCTCCATATCCTAAAACAAGACAAAAAAAATGATCAATTACATGCACAAATCTAACATCACGACCATTTTTATATATTCACTCACCTCTCCAGCCAGCTGCTGAAACATGGACTTGAAAGAGTCATCAATGTCATCCTCTGTAATTTCTGCCTATAAGAAACCATATTTATTAAACAGTATGAACTGACACTCTAAAGCACTTGCCATCTTTTTTTTTTGTCAGAAGGTTTATGTGATAATGTAGATCCAAAATTTTACCTCATCCTCCAGGTCAGCTGAAATATCATCATCCAACTCCCTTTGAAGAGACAACTAATTTTATTGAAGGTAATGGGTTAAATACCCCTCATGTCATTCCAAACCCAATTTTCCTTTTTTCCCTTTTAACACATACAATTCTGGTCTCATTTCCACTGTCTTGGGTTAGAGGACCTTTATTTTGAAGTGTATTTGCTATTTCTATTGTTTCCAGTGTTCACGCCACATGTTTAGTTCCCATTTTGCTTTGTTTCTATAGTAACCCTTGTTTGTTTTCATAGTTATTGATTTCCATCAACTGTTCCTAGTTATTCACTCGTTATCCTGTGTATTTACACCCCGATGTTTCCCTTGTACAGTGTCTGGTGTTGTCAAATAAAAGTTACTGTTAAAAATTGGATCCTGCTAACTATCTCTCTCAAACACCCGGAGTAAAAGGAATAAAACAGGAAATATGACAGAAAATTACCATGCAACAAAAATAGAAACATGGAAGTAGTTCAATGTGACTAGTGCACTATTATTATATGCAAATGTAGTTATATTAAAATATGTAAGAAAAATAAATAAGAAATCTGAAAATTATCACAATAATTAAATAATAAAATTAATACATTTAATTTAATATAATAATTAAAATTTATTCTCATCATATAAATGTGTGTGTGTGACTATATGGTGCTATTTTGTCTTTGTCCACTGTCCATAAAAAAAAAAGCTTGGACATTGGAAATGACATGAGGGTGAGTAATCTGAAAAATGCCTGAAGTTCTCAAACACACACTCACTCTGTCTCTGACTGCTTCTCTGTGAAGACTCGCAGGACAAAATCAGCCTCTTTGCTGGGTTCGAAGGTGGAGGGGACGATGATGTATTCCCCAGGAGGGAGGCGGAGACGGGTGCTCACCTCGCGCAGGTTGATGAAGGTCTCGGAGCGGGCGCTCGATGAGTTTGTCAGGAAGAAGTCCTTTTTAAGGTGCACATTCTGACAGCCGGCGTACTGCAGACAGACAGAAACTATAAATCTGTGCGGTATGCAAAGCTAAGTTTCTGTTATTCCACTGTGAATAATTGAATCTTCAAATCTTCCATTTTTAAAATAAATGACCTGTTTATGGAAGTACACAAACCATCAAACCTATTTAACAAAAATTATTTAAGTTATTGACATGGGATCATACCTCTTCAGGAATCTGTGAGGAGGAGAAAAAAAGAAATGGAAAGAAAAAAATATTTTGTAATGAACAATTATTTAAAAAAAAAAACATTTAATAACAAAAAATAACTTCTATAATTAATAATTAGATACAAAAAGCACTGAGGAAAATATTTTACAATGTCAGAAAACAACTAGCCAACTTTGTAAAACAATGAGCAAAAAGTTAACAAATCAATATTTGGTGGCCACCAGCTGCTTTCAGTCCTACAGTGCATCTCATTCTCATTACTGAGCCACATTTGCCAGTTCTTCCTTGAACACATGGATGGGATGGAAACATTGTCAGGAAAAAGTCCTTTTTTATTAGCTACCTGTTCTTGCAATATTCCAAAATTTGCATAAATATGATTATATTATTAAGATTGCCAGCTTATGCTTGCTAGTTAAGCATAACAAACATCTGAACATGTTGGAAAGGGACCTCTTCACCTCGTAGAGCGCAAAACCGATGGTGTGCATGTCCTGGCCGTGGTGGCGGTGCCGTCTGCGGTCTTTCTGCATTAAAGCCACCAGTAAGCTGCAGGCCACTTCTTCATCCTCCGGGTCATCATCTTCCTCCAGCAGCGTGATCTTATACTGTGGATTGATCCAAAATGTGTCTGCCAAATAGTACAGGAACACATAGAGTTATGGGGTTCAAATCCCAGGTAAAGCTAGTAGCGGAGTTTGAATCATGTATTAATAATTGTTCATCTTGTTCATGATATGATGCTTTAATGCACTACTGTAAGCTTTCTTTTTTAAAGAAAATCATTAATACTTAATATTATCCAGCAAGGATGCATTAAAGAGATCAAAAGTGACATTTATAATGTTGAAAATTATTTCTATTTCAAATAAATGATTTAAATTCTTCAAAGAATCCTACAGTTGAAAGATATTACGACATAGACATTAAGCAGCAGAACAGTTTCCAACATATAATAAGAAATGTTTCTTGAGAAGTAAACCAGCGTATTAGAATGATTTTTGAAGGATTGTGTGACACCAAAGACTTTAGTAATGGCTAATGAGCATTTTTAAATATATTCAAATAAAAAACAATTCTTTTAAATTTTACAAATATTTCACAATATTACTTATTTTACTGTACAGTTGATCAAATAAATGCAGCCTCTGTGAGGATAAGCTACTGTATATCCAAACATTTCCTTCTATCATGTTTTTCAAAACATGTGGTCATTTGTCAAGCCTATCAATATAGTACAGACTCTCACTATGACCACCAATACTGCCATACTGTGACCTCAAGGCAAGCGATAACTCACTGGGATGATTTCGGCAGCCTCCTGCGGTACTTCCTCTCCGCCAGGCACCGTGAAACTTGATGGTGTTCCAGTGGCTCAGGTCCTCATCACTCAAAGCATCAGGGGACAGATTACAAATCTCCAGCCTGGAGAACTGCCGCAAAAACTCGCTGAATGACATCCTGGGGACAAAGGGAGCCGTTTCTTTATGCTGTGACTGTGAGAGTACACAATGCTTATTGGTCTCCTGTTGTGTCAAATTAATTTTGTGTTGCTAAAACAGCTCACCAGAACTCGCCATCCTCCATCTGTAAGTGCAAGTCATCCTTTTCAGATGGATCGATCTCGTCCCATTCAGGAGAGCTGAGGAGGGAACATACACGGTCTTCTTACTCAATGACTTGGGCTGAACCGGATGAGTATTTCTGTTCTATTTCTTACTTGTCACTCCAGGCCCCCGTCCATTCTACCTGACCCCACGGGTTACGGATACGGATAAGCCTCTCCGTACGGCCCCTATATTCCACCTATCAAAGAGGAGAGAGATTGAAATTGAACTCCATTATGTCGATGATCAATCTAAACTGGAGCGTTACCTGTTTGAGAGCAGTCACTGAGTAAGCGTGGCCCTTAACCAGCTTCTTAAACGTCACCGCTTCCATGTCAAAGGCACTGGTGATCTGGAAAACAATTATAAATAGCAAATTAATATATGTATAGAAATAGGTAAATAAATGGACGTGAATAAATGTTGAAAGAAAAACTAAATGACCTGTAAAATGGATATAAAGCAATCAATCGAAAAATAAAGTAATATTTATTTATAATAAATAGGCTGCATTTATTTGATCAAAAATACAGTAAAACGAAGTAATATTTATAATGAATAAAAATATAAATAAAAATATATAAATATTTTACATTTTTTTGATTTTTCAGCATCATTACTTCAGTCTTCAGTGTCACATGATCCTTCAGAAATCATTCTAATATGATGATTTACTGCTCAAGAAACATTTCTTATTATTATCATCAATTTTGAAAACAGTTGTGCTGCTTAATAATCTTCTGAAAATATTAGATACTGTTTTCACAATTCTTTGATGAAGACAGGTCAAAAGAACAGCATTTATTTTAGAGACGTTATTTTTGTGATAACGTAAAAGTCATTATTGTCAATTGTTCTGATCAATTTAATGCATCCTTGTGTGTGTATATATATATATATATATATATATATATATATAAAAAAGAAAAAGAAAAAAATTGAAGGGTAGTGTATATGCTTGTCAGCCCCAAAACCATCCCTATCATCTTACATTGTAAATTAACAGCAGATTGGACATTCTGCTAAATATCTGCATTAAAACTGGAAAACAATCTTACTGGTTTCTAACAACATGAGTTCAAGTAGGTAACAATTTTAATTTTTGAGTGAAGTATTATTATGAAGTAAAGGGATACTTCACCCTAAAATGAAAATTCTGTCAGTAATTACTCTCCCTCATATTGTTCAACCCCTCAAGACTTTCGTTCATCTAAATCTGAGAGCTGGATCACTCCTCCATAGGCTTCTTGACTTAAGGGATCGAAACTGGCTGGCCCAAAAGTTATGAAAGACATTGTTAAAATAGTCCAAGTGACTACAGTGGCTCAAAAGTTTATCAAGCGATGAGAATACTTTGTGCGCAAAAAGTCGATCCCTTAAGAAGCCTATGGAGGAGTGATCCAGCTCTCAGATTTAATCAAAAACATCTTAATTTGTGTTCCGAAGATGAACAAAAGTCTTACGGGGTTGAACAACATGAGGGTGAGTAATTACTGACATAATTTTCTTCCTTTTGGGATGAACTAACCCTTTAAGTGAATAAAGCTCTCACATCAATAGAGCAGCCCAGCAGGGAGCCTCTCTCCAGGGCTTTGCTGATGATTCGGTACAGGTCTCTCGGAGCTTTCCGGAGCTCGTACATCTCTGAGACCCCTCCGGTGAAATCCTCAAATCCCTCAGTGGTGGAGCCTCCAGAGAGAGCTTCATAGGAGCCATTTAGCCTGGCACAATACAAACAAACACACACACACCGCACACGGACCATGAGAAAACCTTTCTTAAATAAGACAGAGACAGTATACGTGCACTTTTGTAAATGATTCTTGTTTAGTAAGAACAAAATTTGCTGATCTTTACCAAAATGTCTATCAGGACATACTTTGCATAGGCCTTTTCAACCAAGGCACTCCAGAACTCATTTCCCTCTGCTGAATGGACAAACATGAGCTCCCCGTCTTTGACCGGGAGTCGATCGTCAATCACAACGTCGACCCACTCGCCAAACTGCCAGAACTGCAGAACAGAAACAAGCAACTGCGTGAAGAAAAGGCTGAGAGGATTCCAGATTAAACAGGTTCTCAGTGTCACAAGTCTTGCAGCTGTGCTGCTTAATATTTTGTGGAAACTGTAATTGTTTTTTTAGAATGCTTTAATTAATAAAGTTAAAAAAATAACACAATATTTAGAGTTTAGAATTTGATTCATCATTTACAAAAATAACTTTTAGAGCATGCATAGTGTGTTTCAGAACCTGAAAGTGGAAAATTCCAGCATAGTCATCCTGAAAGCTCTGGCCTAGAGGTACGACCCTGTGGAGGAGTTTTTCATTCAGAGTCAGAGAACCTATAGCAGCGAGGAGCCAGCAGTCACCTGAGCAGGAAAAAGAAAAAAGAAAACCATATATATATATATATATATAACAGATGAGGCATAATGGCACTTGTTCTAAAAGCTATTTAAACTGTGATACTAAAATCCCTGAATAAAATGCCATTATTATTTTTTCTTTTAATACAACACAGCAGTTGAACTGTCAATTTACAACCAGCAGGGGGACACAAAGAAAGGGGTGGGGCTTAATTTCTGTGTGTACCCATTCCTGATTACATCCCACTCAGATCTCCACCTCAGAGCAGAGGAATTTTCCACAGCCGACGGCAGGCCAAGCCTAAGGAAATGTAGGCTCAAATATATGAGAGATTTGAATGGTTTAATACTTTTGGTCACTATATAATTTCCATTATTACATTCATGCTATCTTCTAAGACTGATGAACTTTCAATTATTGTGAAATATGGAAAATTTTAACAAAGTATAAGTATGTTTTTTGCATGGTCAGACTTTAGCCTGGTGAATTTGAGAGCTGTAACGCAGTTAATGTAATAAGAGTATACATAAAAAGATACAGATAAGTTATCTCCTAGTTTTGATGACTTTTCTATTATTGTGAAACATGGAAAATGCTAACAATAACGAATAAGTAGGTGTGTGCTGACACTAGTTAATAGATAGCAGACATAATGTAATATACAAGGGCGGCAACTTATAAAAATGAAAAAAAAAAAAAAATCTGCATGCACATTGATTGAATAGGTTGGCACGATTACAAACATGCACTGACTCAAGGTCAGGGGGAAACGGATGAGTCACATGCAGACACGCCTCAGGTCAGTTATATGAGCTGTTCTTTCTGTCGTGACTCATGCTTTAAGTTTGCTGGTACAGCCACAGAATCATTTAGAGGTGATTCCCGTAGAGCACCAACACTTTTAGAAACTATACTGGATGACTTTTGCACAAGCAGAACCCTTACCCAGAGCTCCCTGACAGATGTCGGTCCGCGAAGCTCCTCCCACAATGAACTGAGGATCATCACAGAGCTCCTGCAGAAAAGGAGGGATTAGATTAGAGGAGAAGAAAGCATAAAGGTTTTTTATTCTTGGCAAGATTGAAGCAAGCAAGACTTTATAGGAATAGTTTAGCCAAAAATGAAAAAGCACCCTCGTGTTATAACAAATTTGAATGTTTTTTTGTATGATACACAAAGGATAAATGTTTAACAGTTTTTTTTTTTACCTTTTTGACACACTGCCGTTGAATGGAACAGTGTTATATTAAGACAGTCACCGTGATTTTATCAAGTAACACATTTTCCTCGATCAACATTCCTGTCCCAAAATGTAGTCCTTACCCAATCTCTACCCCTAAACCTAACCTAACCTAAATGATAGGTGAATAACACTGATGTTTAAGTACTTCACTCTGGTTCTAAGACTAAACTTGACATAAACTGGAAACTTGTCCCTCAAATCTGAACGGTTGATCGGAAAGTTGATCCAGGATCAACATCCTGGATCAGGATGTTGAACGTGGTACTTGGTGAAATCACGTTCACCATATGATGACTGAGGGAAAATTATTTGATATTTTGCATTAGTTTTTACTTTTGTATTTCCATTTGAAAGTTTTAGAAATTTTGTTGTTTTTGTCATTTTTATTTGTCAATGTTTTTATCTGTATATCAGTATTTAGTTATTTTAGTATGGAAGAATAAACTTTAATAAAGAAGTTAATTGTGACTTTTTATTTCACAACTCTGATTTTCTTCCCTCGAAAAATATAGCAAGTGAGATATAATCTCACGAGTAATAAAGTCTGAATTGCGAGATGTAAACTCGCTATTGTGAGAAAAAATGTCAGAATTGTGAGCAGAACTTTTTTCCTCAGAATTGTGAGACATAAACATGGAATTGCAAAAAAAACCTCTGAATTGTGAGATATAAACTTGCAGAAAAATAATACTTGTGTGAGAGATAGTTATTATATATATATATAATTTTATTTTTTTTCAGTTATTATTTATTTTATTGCAAGCAAACAAAAAAAAAATCGGCTTTAGTTTTAGTTAATTATTATAACCCTGGTATGGAAAAGAACATATTTAGTACTGCTGTTACACCAATGTTGCCAAAAAAACATATTTATATTCTTAATATGAATATGTAACAATGGGCAGTCTGAATGAGGCCTTCATTCTTCAGAGGAGGGATTTTTTACTAAGTTATAATCCATGTGTATGCAACTTTATAATAGTGACAACAGCTGCAGTAGAGACTAGAGAAGGGAGGAGTCATTGACTGCAGGGATGTGTGTGCGGGCCCAAAATGAAGAGCATGTTGCTGTCTATGCAGTATGCACTACTGTTCAAAATGGTGTCAGTAAGACTTTTTTAATTCATCAAAAGTGACAGTAAAGTCATTTATAATGTTACAAAAAACATTTATTTTAAATAAATACTGTTCTTTCTATTTATCAAAGAATCCTGGAAAAAAAAAATCACAGTTTCCACAGAAATATTAAGCAGCACAACAGTATGCATTGATAATATTTTTTTTTTTCATATTAGAATGATTGTGAAGGATCATGTGACACTGAAGACTGGAGTAATGATGCTGAAAATTCAGCTTTGCATCACAGCAATAAGTTACATTATAAAATAAATAGAAAAGGCGTTATTTTAAATTGTATTACTATCACAATATTACTATTTTTGATCAAATGCAGCCTTGGTGAGCATCAGAGACTAAGATGTAGCGAATATAAAACAATGAAAGTCAGCGTGGTCCAATCCTGTCAATGAATTTCATTGCATGCATGGACAAACAGTTTTTCAAAATACCATATTTTGTGTTACACACACATACACACACACAAAAAAGAGAGTCAGGTTTGGAATGACATGAGAGTGAGCAACTTAACCCTAACCGTTTTAGACAACCATATTTAATAATGTAGCTTTTTTTCCGTACCGTAGGGCGCATCCACTCCACATCTTGGGTTTTGGAGGAATGTGGAGCGAGTTCTTTGAAGCCGAGCGAGGGCGGTTCGGCTGGAAAGCAGGGGTCTTCAAACAGGTAGCCCCCTTCCAAACATTCCTGTTTGAGGGCCTCAAAATCCTGGTTCTGGAAGTGTAAGGCCTGCTCAAAAGAGCCCACGCCATCCGCCTTTAGCCTGTTAGCACTGATCTGTGCTGAGATCCCTCCATATGTGAACATGCTGGAGCAGTGAGATGCAGACCAGGTATAAATAGCAAAACTGATACCAAGATGATTCACACTCACTCCACATTTAAAACCCACTCCATATCATTCTAACATAATGTTTGTGCATTTGTCTGGACATTGCATTTAGCCATAATAAAAAATAAAATAAAATAAAAAAACAGACATGTAAATGTCAATCATGTACACCAGCTTTCAGAAGACTTAACACTGGGGATGAGATCCCATAAACATTTATTTACACTTACAGTATACATGTAAATGATAATACAATGGACATACTATTCAAAACTAAGTATCTTGGCACTGGTTGTTAAACATTAAAGGAATAATTTAATGTGAAACCATGTTAATGTGGAATATGGCAATTGTACAAATGGCCAGAGAAAAATAACTTTGAGAATAGTTGTGCATCAAGAAGTTTTTATGTTAAATACTGTCTTTGATAACTGGGATGCTGCTCTGTGGCTCTTCTACGTGAAATGTGTGCATAAGGTTTGTAAATAAATAAATATTTGGATGCCAACTACTTTTATACTCAAAATGCCACACCATTGGCATCTTATCTCTATTTCGATATGAATGATTGAACAAACACAATCTGAGAGCCTCCCATTCATTTCAACAAACGAATCACACTCAGTGTACGTAGGCTATATCTACCAAATGTACGCAAACTACTGAAACGTCGAGAAATCAACAAACCTCTATATGTAACATTTTTAAAAACACTTTTAGTGGCGATTTAATTTGGTGTCTTGTTCTGTAGGCCTAGCGCTACATTTCTTTTCTAAAATGTAAGGAATGGCAAACATTTGTCTTGGTGTTGTCTTGCTCCGTTAAACCTTCGCAAATCATTGCGGTTCACTTAACGACGTTAATTATTAACTTCAACGTAACAGCATTTTTTTTAGCGATAGCCTACTACGATAGCTAGACGTTTCTAATCTTCAATATGTGCAAAACATTCATATCTAACAGTGAATAAAGTGTCCAATAATGCGACAAACTAACAGCAGGCCGACGGAGACCAACAACACGGACAGAATAAAGCTGAATAAATCTCGACGTGATTCATTGAGGGAAGAAATACAAGAACCGCTAAACTTGCCTTGCAACTGCGGTCCAGGGCTGTCTCTTCTGTGATGGGATTGGGAATGTGTGAAATATACAGTTCTATTCGTCCGAAAGATAACGCTTTAGAGCTTCAGTGTGTGAGTGTGTGTGTGTGTGTGAGAGTCCAGAGAGGAGGCGGAGCGATACAAGAGCACCTGTCAGTCACAACATAACTGAATGATACAAATTCCTCATCTGAATTAATTGTGGATTTGAAAGGGTCTAACCCATTTAGCCAAGTAAAAAACAATAACTAAATACTATTTTTATATTACTTATTTCATACATATGATATATTATACTTTCATCCGAGATTTTAAATATTACAGTAACAACAAACGTTTTAAGTTGGCCAGAAATTGCTACATTTCTCCTTAAAAGTCAAACCTCTTGAAAGTAATTGAATAATTTGAACGATGGGAAGAGCATGTTATAATAAAAGATAACTTTATTTGTTTCTCTAGCAACAAGGCTTTGTATTGTACACATTTTTAAATTCCAAATGGGACACAAGGAAATAGCAATGCTTGCAAGGCAGAAATAATTATATATATATATATATATAAAGTAAATTTGGATTAGGACAAATCATGAATTTCATTCAAAGTATAAAATTGACAAGCATTTTCATCTTAGCACTATAAATTATCGACAAATTAAAATCTGTGCATTAAAAACCTCATAAATCAAAATGATAGTTTTGTGGCTTTAAACACCTGAATTGATTATCAATAAGCAAATCATGGTTCTGTCATGATAATGTGGCTATATTACACATAAGATATGTCCTATTCAAAATTCAATAGGAAATACATTAACATAATAAAAAATAATATTTGTCAAGTGATTTCATCAGGTCTGTAATTAGTTGGTTTTAACATTTTCTTAAAAAAATGTGAGCAGTGCTTGTTCACACAAACAAGATGCTAGGGTGTTGTGGGTCATTGCCAGAGCATTGCAATGCAGTTTCTAACATGTTGCTAGGTGGTTGCTTACTGGCTACTTCCAAGTTTGATCCAATAATCTGGCCCCCATATATGGCTTGGATCCCTCTCGGGATTTTATTTAACAGTTGTATCATAGATCAGGTGTATATCATCTGTCTGATAACTTAAAATAATTGCATAATTCTGCTCAATAACCCACACAATTTGGTCTACCAATCACATCAGCAGCAAAAAGGAAAAATAATAATAAAAAAAAATAGAAAAACAGTGATGCCTTGCAAGCATCACAATAAGAGAAAAGTCCATAACAAATAAAACAACAGCCAACTACTTCTCTATCTCTGTAGCAAAGTACAATGGACACATTTACAAATTCCAGGTGGCCCACTATACTAATTAAGCATTTATCTATACGAGACGAGTGTTATCTGTGTAAGGTAACTAGAACAATAAAAATGTTATTCATAATAATCCTCTGGCCCTTTAAATCATAGCAAATGACAGCCACTGAAAAAAGAGAAAAGAACCATATAAAACACAAAATGTATAAACATTAAGATAGACTACTAGATTGCAAGACATTACGTACCTGGAAGAAGTCCAACTCAATGAACCCACTGTCGTCTGCATCAATCCTCTTGAACACTTCTACAAAAAGTTAAACAAAAATGTTTGTGTCAATTTGCTGTTAAAGTTTAATTGATAAAAACAGAAAGGAATATAATCACATTATATAGTATGAAAGAAATATTTGCCTCTGGACCACTGAATTATTGTAAACATGCTGCACATACAAGATGGTAATGAAACAGAAAGATGTTTTCCAGGTCGTTTGTATACAGAACAATTTAAAGTGCCCCATTATAATATTTTTAAGGTTCCTAGTTTTGTTTTAGAGGTCTCCTACAATAGGTTTACATGCATCAAATGCCAAAAAAACACTTAGATTTTCTCAATATACATTGCAGCATCACCTTTTTTTCTCACAGAAATGCTTCGATAAAGGATCCAGTCTCTCTAAACCCCACCTTTTTCAAAACCTACTCTCCTTTTACAGCACATGTCCCAATCTGAACGGCTATTACCGTATCTAAATTTAAGCTCCAGAGGCTTCCTCAGCACTTGTACACAGAGGGATACGAACAGTTTTCCGATTTTAACAGCGTCTTCTCAACATGTCAACAATATGAACTCTTCTAGGTTTCAGCTACAACTACAGGGTTTGAGATGTTGTTTGTGGGCAGCCAATGAAGACCATAGACTGGCATTATTCAAATTTGTGCAAACACACGTAAGATCGTGCAGCGAAGTAAGACTGGAATTACTGCCGGCTTTTTTTCAGAATCGGTTCTTTCGTTTAGGAGACAATAACTTTATTTGTTATGCACTTTGATCTTTAAAACTTTGCAGACCTTTTACATTGACAAACAACTATCTTACACACTGCATAAAAGGTAATATTCGAAAAAAAAGCATAATAGGGGCACTTTAAAGTTAAAAAATAACTTGAGACAATTCAGAAAGCATGTGATATACAACTTTAAAGTACTTTATAGCCATACAACTCAACTAAAAAAAAAAAAAAGAACACCATTAAAACCGATCTCAACCAATCAGAATTAAGAAATCACTGCTCTTACTGAACATCATCTCCAGGCGCATCACACAGGACACAAAGTTATCAAAGTCGATGTTCATGTCGGTGTCTCCATAGCGTGCAACCAGATTCTGATGAATGCAGTCATTCAGAGAGAATCCTGTGAAATGATTACCAAAAAAAAATCAAGTTACTTTGATAAACTCAAAGCTTGTTTTGCAGCGGCTTTCAGGAATATACTGACTGCCTTGTATCAGAATTCGTTTAATTAGGGATGCATGATATATCGGCCACATTATCGGTATCGCCCGATATATGATAATTTTTAATGTTATCGTTATCGGCCCAACAAGAACATTTAGCCGATATCTAAAAGCCGATAAATAATATATTATTTCCTTCAGCTGAGGCACTTTAGATGTGCACTGTTCAACATGATGCTTTTAAATTGCTTGAAATACGATTGAAATCACTTTAAAAAAGGAAAATCCAGTTAAAGTGCAAAATGTGCAAGTCTGTCATATCGGTTACACAACATTAAAATAAGAACATCATAATTGTGTTTGTATCTAGGCTTTTAATGAGGAAAATCAAAAATTGTCTAAAAATTTGGATTCAGATTTATCGGCCAAAATATCGGTTATCGGCTTTCAAATTTAAAGAATTATCGGTTATCGGTATCGGCCAAAATTGTCATGTAGGTGCATACCTACATTTAATCCTTCTTTAAAAACGAAAAGCTGAATGAAGGTCAATGGTTAGCGTACCTGCTTCTTTCAAAGCCATTCGCATCTCTGGTGTACTCATACAGCCGGACCCATCCATGTCATTCTTCTTATAAATGCCCTAAAAAAGGATGATGAGGATGTTACCCCAAGAGAACTCATGAGAAGCAAACGTTTCTGTGCAAAATTTGAGAAAAACTAACCAGATACTTTTGAATTTTCTTCCAAAGAGTGGCAAACTCAGATAACCCCAGTTTACCATTGCCACTTTCCTGCACTAGAGTTAAGTCAAACTGATTGTGACACTCAGAAACGCAATGTCTGTTGGACTATTTGTAAAAGGATACATCCATGAGGTTCACCATGACTCTACAAGTGTCCATACTGAAACCATCTGTCTTTATATCAGTTCCTGTACAGAAAAGACAAATTGTTTACTAAATATCTTTATAAATATGTTTTTTTAATAATAACGTACAAAGAAAATACTTACTTTTGGCGACTATTTTGTTTAAAATTGTTCGCAGCTCAGTAGCAGAGATCTCCATGTCCTTAGAAAAGAGCAAACAATATTACATTTTTACATGTTTTTTAAGTAAAGTAATCCATGAGCATGAAGGCCCATTCACACCAAAGACTATAACGATAAAAAGTGTTTTTTAAAATCATTCTACATGTAAAAGAATAGCAGAGTCCACGCCATAATTGTAACGATAACGGCACAGGGACAAAATTGTTTGAATCAGAACAATGTAAACACTCACAGCCAATCAGAATTTATGAGTTATTGTTATTTTTCTTGGTGTGAGCAGGCCTTTATGCTGGGTCTAAAATAACTCACATCTCCAGCAAGTTTAGTAAACAGTCCCCTAAAGCCAGCATCAACCTCCTCTTCAGACACGGTCTCCTGAGGAGACAGAAAAGAGAGCGTTATTGATGATATTCACAGTAATAAATGGCAATATTATATACAATTTTCCTGAAGATGGGAGACACTTCCGGTTTGGAGAGCTTCCACTCAAAACGACTGAAACAGATCATTTCATATTATAAGGTTGCGCAACAAATAACCCTTATCCGTCAGTTTGACTAAATAAGTTGTACATTTTCCTTCATGTTTTATTTTCAGACGTCAGAAGAATATCCCCATACACTTGGTATTTTAACGGGGTCATGAACTGAGAAATCAAATTTTCCTTTGACATCTAAGAGGTCATCCTATTATAAGAATATCCTGTAAGTTTCAGAACTAAAAACGTCCTTGTTAGTCCAATAAAACCTTTTATTGACATATGACGTCAAAGAGGATAAAACGCCACCATATGTTTTTGCATTAAAAACATATCTGGCACATTATTCTGATTATAATGCTTGCAAAAAAATCCAGCTCTTTTATTTCCATCATTGTTTGCAACCCAACGCTGACAGTGGTCTGCTTTACTTTATGATATGTCCCATGAATACCGGTGATTCACTGGATTTCACTAAAAAAATCCTGAACGGAAATGATCCGTCTATCAAATCTTCACGTCTCTTTTATCACACGGATGCTTTAAAATGTAATTGATCCCCTTTTAGCAGACAAATCTGTCAAAATGACAGAACGCACTTTGAAACATCACTCGATGCTAAAGTTAATGAACATTTTTGATTAAGACAATGCATGTTACATGATACAGATATATATTACTACAGTGATATTTAACAGTGACATCCATAATATTGCCGCAGAAAGAATCAATCTTTTGAGGTAATTCATTCTTTAACACTTTTAAGTTTCCTTTTAACGTATAATGGCAGAAGGGTGAGTAGAATAATGTCACTACATTGTACCCAGTTGTTGTTGTTTTGTTTAAGCTTATTGCATTT